ATTAATTCATAATAATCGATTTTTACAATTTAAATAATCAATTAATTCATAATAATCGATTTTTACAATATAAATAATCGATTAAATGGTACTGACTTCGAACCACTGATCTGAATAAAATTCTAATCGATTTTTAGTAAGTAAATAATCGATTTTCGACCACTGTTCATCGTCTTCTTCCTCGAGTCAGTCTTAACATTATCATTTTTTAATCACCAAACTTCAATTTAATTATATAAAAATGTTCTCCAATGTTCACAGATCATTTTAGAGTCATTAATTCGTAATTTTAACAACAATTTCATGGTTTACGATTCTTGGTTCTTCAAACATGTCAAATACAAAATTCAACCAAATGACCATTTATGAACGTAAAAACAACCTATATGAACATTCTAATCTTTAGATATATCTACGGGCTTACCTCGAAGGTAAATGAAGGTTTTGAATATTTTCCGGCGAAACTTCCGGCAAAGATTGTGGCTTGCTCCGGCGACTTCACACCAAATTGACAGCACAACTTCGTTCTCCACACTCACAGCTTTCTCTCCGAGTTTATTTGAAGGAGAATGGTGAAGGAATGAGGGAGTTAGCTTCTCCTTTTATAGGGAAGATGAAGAAGAAGGAAACAAAGTCTGAGTAGATGCTGCCTAGGAACTTCACGTTCTTCTTTTGGCGATAGTGCGACTTAAGGAGACTCAGCACGTTACTCTCTGATTGGGACTAATTTTTTGTCCAGTCGGGGTACACTTTTCGGTCCAACTTTCTCCAATTGAAATTCGTTTGCACCGTTGCGATCAGACAGTCGAACTCTATCCAAAGATATAATTTTTATATTCATTCGTTATACTTTTCCCGACACCACATTTTTGGGTGTTTGACCTTAACAGAGTCAAAATTGGTTTAATTGACCTTTCTCATAAAAGGTTCTCTCATTTAATTCATATCAATTATTCTCATGATTTATTTCAACAAATCATTTCAATATTTACATTCTAAACAAATTCTTTATTTACTCTTGATTTGGGTCTGTATTCAGGTTCTGAATCAAGACCACACAAATAGTTCACATATTGGATTTATCTCTATGAGACTTATCCAGATTTTGATATAAGATGTCAAAACAAATTTCTTATCGGTCCAAAGCCCAACAATAATTTATTTTAATGAAAACAAATTTGATTAATTGATTATTTATTCATTAATAATTCTAGGATATATTTTGGGGCGTTACACTACAGGGGATGAAATTAGCCTTATTGGAAGTAGAGTAAGTATATTAAATGAGATAGGTGAAGTGGAAAGTGTATATGATACATCCAAATGTACATAGAGATTGGTACATCCGGGCAGTACTTATTATGAGGTAAAGTGGTACTCATTCTCACACAAAAATGAAACTTGTAAGTTTTCTTTAATAGATTTATAGAAATGTTCTGTTATTTAATTTCTTTTTCCTTTTATTGTTATCATGTCTGTTTAAATATTTTAGGAATGTGAATTGAAATAGGGTAGTAGGTATGTAGGAAAAATAATCATGCTAGAATATTAGATTCAATTAATTAAATGCCAAGTTACTAGTAATTGTGGTAATATTCTAATTAATTAATCTGACCAATTCATTAATTAATCTTTGAAAATTATTATTAGCACATTAATTAAACCCAGAGATAAGATAAAATTAATGGAATAGTTGTGACAAAACTTCTCACTAGTTAAATTATCTAGCATAGTACTTGAAATTAATTCACAATCCTTTTTTAACAATTCAATCAATTTGTTATTCTGTGCAATCAAACTCAAACTTTTTGAAATTAGAAAACTTCCAATACCAATTATTAAGCTTTGCCTAACTAATTTGTAATAGAAAAATTATTTACATATCAATTCTTTTGATTGAATACGACACGAAAATAAATAGAATTCTTTAAGAGAGAAATTTACTACCACTAAAACTCATTCGTCAGTAGCCGGTGACGGAGAATGATTAACAATTAGGAGAGATATCAAACCTTCATTTTGATATATCTCAAAATCACGAGATATCGAAACCCCTCCATTTGAAGTTGGAGCCGATGAGAGAGGATTAGAGCAAAGGAAAAGACAAGAAGGTGGACGGACCAAAGAAGTATACCCGGACAAGAAGAAGGTCCATGAGTTTATAATCTATTACGTAGTACGTAGTATTTAATAGATAATAAATAATGATGAAGGGCTCGTTTGGGAAATTATATTTTCGATTAGCGTTAGCGTTTTGGATAAAATTTAAATGATAGAGATTAACTTTAAAAATATTAATGTTAAATGCTGCCCGTAGATAGTTTTTTCAAAACACTAACACTAACCTCTAATGCTATTTTCAAATAAGATCGAATAATATAAAATAAACTAAGAAATATGACAAGAGTCCAGAGATCATAATTTGTAGTTGTTTTGAAATGGTAAAAAAAGAAAAAAAAAGAAAAGAATCATAACAAGCCATTGTAAATGCCATCCATATTTACATTGGATTGTATGGGATGTAATCAATTAGAACTCCTAATAGAGTGTTGGAGTTTCTTAGATACTCCGGGATAAACAACTAGAAGTCCCAACAACTAGCGGCGAAAATCCTGCTTCCGATCTGTCGGAACCAGCGACTGTCGTTCTTCTGCGATTCCCCCCGGAGACAGAATGGTCGCAGTTGTTGAAGCTCGTCAGCTCAGCTTCCCCAAGCCGCCGCTCCTTTCCGTTCCCCTTTCTTCTCCCCACGTCACGTCTCTCCTCTTCGAACCCACCTTTTCATCTCTAGCCCTCTCTCACTCCGATTCCTCTTTCTCCCTCTACCATTCCATCTCCCCCCTCTCCCTCCCTCCCCCTTACTCTCTCCCTCCTCCCAAAACCCTCGTCCCGCCGCCGGTCTCCTCCGCGACCTTCGTCGTCCTGCGCGACGCTACCCCCAACCCTAATTCTCTGTTCGTCGCTTCCTCGCCCCTCTCCGGCGGCTCCGCCGTCCTTCTCCGGTTCTACATTCTAAGCCCAGACAGGAAAGCTTTCACTAGAGCCAGGGTTGTTTGCAATCACAGTGACATCCGATCGGAGGAGGGGAAGTTTGGCGTTGTGTTTGGGGCCAGTCATGGCGTATCTGTTAAATTGGCTGGATCAGTCAACGTGTTTGCAATGTACTCGATTTCGAATTCAAAAATTTGGGTTTTTACAGCAAAGCTCGTAGGTTACGAGGAAGTTAAGTTGATGAAGTGTGCTGTGATTGATTGCTCTGCGCCAGTGTTTTCGATGAGTCTGTCCTTTGGGTTCCTTATTCTTGGGGAAGAGAACGGCGTTAGGGTTCTACCTTTAAGGCCACTGATTAAAGGAAGAGCTAAAAAAGACAAAGGCCCGAGTAAGAAGAATGTGATTAATGCATCGGAGCGAGATGATAAGATGGACAATAAAAGAGTGAATTTGCAAAATGGGATTATTAATGGAATGTATGGGCTTGAATCAAAGACACTCTTCAACAAAAGAAGCGACACTTTGAGTGGTGAAAAAGAATTAAAATTGCGTTCTGTTAGTCATTTTGACAGGAAAAGTGATCAGCATTCACATTCTGGTGCGTGAATTACCTTATTCAACATTGCTTCTTCTTCATACTTGTTTGTTTTAGGATAAAATATTTATCTCTCTCGTATGCAAAAATGGAACATGAAGTGTATGAGAGCAAACAACAATATATTTGAAGTTTTTGTTATCAACAGAAATTATGATAATGTCTTGCCATGAAGTAGAGCGATGAATAAATATGTTTTTTAAAAGGCGATGAATAAATATGTTTGGGTGGGGGTAATATAACTGCAATAGTATTTATGTGGGCATAATGCTTTGTGTGCAATAGGCAGTCTTCCTTCATGCCTCTGTTATTACGGGTATACTCCGTAGTATGTTATTCACCTATCCCACATGTTAAGTCGCTGCTAACACAAAAATCGGGTCATCGAAGTGATCATCATGCTCATTTAGATTTTAGATCTTAGTGTTTTTTATTCATTTGACTTGTATTGTACATTTGTATCTCCATACTACGACTCTTCAAGTATATGTCAAATGGACGCCGTCCGAATAATTTGAGCATGAATGTTTTTCATTTGGAATGCATGGCTATTTTTAGTGTTAACATTAAGTTGTTGCATAGGTGCATGATAGCCTGATTGTTTGGATTTGCATAATGAAGTTTGATCATAGACTTCTTGGCCTATTTTCTCCTCTTAAGTTATCATCTTTGAGATGCTGTGGGCTAACTTTCATGTTTAGATATATGAAGTATTAATTTGTGTGTTGTAATATTACTCGAATACTTGCAGTAAAGTTGAGGTGTGCTAAACTGAGACAAGATTCCAGAGATTGGGGTGCCAGTTTCTTAGCATTCGAGCAGGTGGACACGTTTGAATCAGTGGAAGTGCCTATAAGATCGGTCAAGGCTATAAGCATTCAGGCCTTGTCTTTAAGCAAGTTTCTGATATTAGATTCTGTGGGAAATCTGCACATCTTATTCCTTGGCTATTCTGCTCCTGGCTATCAGATTCATGGTCACATGAAACAGTTGAGTCACACAATGAGAGTCCAGAAGATGGCCGTTCTTCCTGATAACTCAGCTAGTATAGCTCCCAAATTCCGTGTTTAAACTTCTCTACAAGACCTTTATATTTCATATTAAATGAAAATGCTCTAGCAACTTGCATTTGTTAACAATGATGTCTTATAACATCAGAAATTGCCCTCTAGCTATAAGATTATAATAGCCGGAACCGTGAATTCATTGGATACCTATCTTCAATTTTAAAATTGAAAAAAAATCCCATCTTTGCAGGAACACATGCTGTCTGGTTGTCAGATGGGCTCCACAGTATATATGTGATGGTTGTAAGTGACGCTGAAAGTTCTGTTAGTGAAACAGAAAACAAGGAGTCTGATAAAAGTCTTATACAAACTTCAGGTTAAGTAATAGTTTGTTACTATGTTTCTTCAATTTCAGTTATATGTGTGTTTTTTTTTCATTTATCCTTGGAAAAAAATCTGTTGACTCACCATTAACTTTAAACTTTTTCTTTAAAAAATGTGAATCAAGTGTTGCGGGAGGTGCTGGCTGCTAGGTGCCTAGAGAGCACTTAGTTGGGCACATTCTCGCCTTAAAGCACTCAATGGGGGTTGCCTTTTCAGAAATTATATTACATGACTTTTAAAAACCAATTAATTTGTAGTCATCAATGCCCTTCCTGTATCTACTAAATTTTCTTTTGGATGTTGAAGGCCCATATTTTATTATGATTTTTCATTCTTTTTATAGTTCCACAAGCCATATTCTCAAGCGAAATAATCCAAGAAATTGCACCCCTGTCTGCAAATTCAGCCATGCTACTTGGACAAGGTAAGATGTGGATGAATGAAATGTTTCATGCATATGTGGTCCCATCTTTTTCTACTTTTTATCAGGCTGGTTTGATAGGTGTACAGAGGGATTGATGACTTGCACAAAAAACTAAAACAATAAAAAAGTGGAACAGTTACAGAGGATAATGCTGTTTCTAAACTCCAGAATGTATGTCTTTGATTCGATAATTTGCACTGTTTTATTTGCAGGAAGCATGTTTGTATATGGAATCTCTTAACTGTATGCAGTAGTTAGGGGACATGGTGAGTTCACTTTCACATGTCATTCTTTGATGTTCATGAGATTGTATTCATTACATCATACGAACTCTGCATATAATACAGTAGGCATAGTATTTTTTTTGTCTTATATTTTGCTTCTTCTAAAGCCAGCTTCTTGACTGAAGTTTTTTGGGTAAATGCTAACCTGCTGCATATTTTCGTCCTTTTAAAGTTAGTTACAGCACACTAGTCACCAGAGCTTTATGTTTTTCCTTGCTTTGTAGGTGCTTTGTTCTTCAAAGTGTGAGTTTTGGTGATCAATTTTTCTGGGCATATTTGTTTTAACGGTAAGATTTTCAAGAATTCGACAAACAAAAGTTGTATCACAATGCATGACCTTCATAGTTAATTATATTTTTATTCCTTTCTTGTAGGCTTGAGCTTCATTTGCATATATGCACCTGCATATATAATGATCCATTTGATTCCAATGGTGCTGAGCTGTCAAAGTAAGCATGATCCTCATCTTCATGTCATCTTTCCCCCGCGTGCACACACACTCACACAGGAGGTCTTGGAAATCAATTTAATTTTAATTGGGTTTTCAAAAATTTACTGAAGTTCACATTTGGTTTTGTCGGCCTATTGAGGTTTATCTATAGAGGTCCTTTGCTCCCATTGGCATTAGCTTTAGCGTTAATGTCATCCAACGGTAGCTTTTAGGTTTGGCATTTTAAAGGTAATTTGCATCTTTAAAAAAATTATCCAAAACACTATCATTAATCACAAATATTATTCAAAAATGAAGACCTTAGACTCACACACACACACAAAACTACCATTAATGCACTCTAGTGACTATCATGTAAAAACCAAATAAAAATGCAACATCTAATAAAAATGAAAATCTAAGAGTATAAATATAGTATCCCCACCTTTCCTATATTAAAGTCAGTTCACGATATATGGTGTTTGACTGAAATTATTTTCAATCTAATTTATTCGAATGTTGGTGTAAAATTTAAAAATAAACTTACATACTCCGTATGTCAAAACTACATAAAAAAATTCTTCAAAACAAGAGGTGATATGATTATGTTTTTCTAACAAAGGATTGAAGTAAACTAGTAAAGAAAGAATATAAAATTTGTATGTGTGAATAGTGAAACTGAAGTTTATTTATGGACAGAGGGAGTATTTGTTTTCCCCTTTGCACAACCAATTGAAAGGATTGCACAATCACCACTCATGACTTTGCGTCATCCTCATTTCATGATATGTGAAAAACATTGGATGAGGGGAAGAATGCAACTTTTTACTTTTCTTAACAAAGTTGTCTTCCAAGAGTGAAAGTGATAAAATCAAATATTCCCTCTTCCAAGGGAATAGTAATTTTGCTACAAAAATAGGATCTACTTAAGATTGTGCAAATATCTTTTGTGACATGCATTTTTTAGATTTTTTTCTTCAAAAACTGTCGAGACTCTGATTTTATACCATTTTAAGGGTAAGAGAAATCTTGATGACTTGATCTGAAAATCATCTTGCTGGGTTTTACTGCTTGGTTTCTTCAAATGACTTTTGCTATGACTGTTGGGAGTATCATGCTTTAGCATTTTCTTTGCATTTTAGTTGGTCTTGTTCCTTTTGTAAAACTATCTCTAAACCAAATCAAAGACACCAAAAATGCTTAAACGTTGGTCTTCAAGTGTGGAACAAGACTGCCACCAAATTTCAAACAATGCTTAATTCTGCAGTATATGCCCTTCTGCATTGAACATGATTACCTATACCCTTGAGAAATTTCAAGTCATTGTTTATGGGCTTCTGGAAACTGTACTATTAATGAGTGCATAACCTTTGTAGTTTGATTTATGAAAGTATCACTATATCTGAGTGGTTTATTTAATCCCATGTTTTAGTTCTCCAAAGGTAAGGACCTCTTGTCATCATGGCTGGGGGGCTAGTCTTAAAGCAATCCATGGAAAAATGTTGGAGACCAATGCGAGAGGTGGTGGTAATCATGTGTGGCCAACGCAATGTTGGTGGACGGTTTTACCCATTGGCGTTCGTCACATTGGTACTACTCCAAGTGGTCAAGGGATTACTTCAGCTTCTTTCCATAAGTGTTCCTCTTCTTACCATATGTTGTTGGATAATCTGTTGTTCTAAGCCCACAGCTTGTGCTGAAAAACAAAACTAGGGAGGATGGCTATATAAGGGTAGATGGTAATTATCATTTTCAGAATATTAAGGGATTTTGCAGTCCTTGTAATCTCAGATGTACACCCAACATCTGATATTTCAAGTAGCCTCGTACTCTCTTTGTCTTAAAATTTTCTTTCCAGTTTCGTTTTTTTGATTGTTTTGAACTTTTGATCCTTTTGACTTTCATAGAAAGATTTGTGTGGCAATGTACTTTTTGTTAGAACCACACAGTTTTTAGTTAGGAGAGATGTTTTTAGCTGGATAAGATGTTACTGCAGAGTTCTAAAAATTAAACACTCTTAAAAGGTAAGACTAATACGGGCTGGTTCTTTGGCCACTCACTTTGAGTGGCCATAGGCACTATTCAAATTAGGGTACCTAGTACGTTTTATTCGCAAAATTGATAGTTTTTACCCTGTAACTCTTCTCGTAACCCTCCCCCACCCAGTTCCGACTCAACCCATTCCCCACCCACATCAATTGCGGGGTGTAATTGACGTGAAGGGATGAGTTGAGGTTGAGATTGTGTGGGGAGGGGGGGGGGGGGTTTCTAGGGGGATTAAGGGGTATGTACTGTCAATTTTGCGAACATATGACTGTAAAAGGACAATGTCCTCCGTGACTATTCAAAGTGAGTGACCATAGAACTTGTGTGAGATTAATAAAGATTAATAAAACACTCTTTTTAGATTAAAACAACGTCAAAAAGTTGCTCAAAACAAAGATTTGGAAAGTTGACAAATAAGCACATATCAATGTTTCTTTATGCAAACACTTTGCTTTATAAGCTCTCGCTGGAAAAAAGAAAAGAAAAGAAGGCATTTATAAAGTGAAGTATACACATATTGGGAGGAAAATGATAAGGAAAATGCTAGGGGTACACCAAAAGTGTACCCCAAACATCCCCCACCCCCTCCATCACCACAAAAAAAAGCAAAAGATTTCAAAAAAAAAATAAAAAATAAAAATAAAATAAAATGAATGGTAGAAAGGGGAGTGGTGTACATTTGGGGTACACATTTGATGTACCCCTAGCATATCCCAATAAGGAAAATGATAAAGACAATATCTTGCATGAAACAAGAGACTATAAGGGTCCCAATGGGCAATATCTCCATAATTATGCTCCTCACCACCCCACCAAAAAAATAGAGAGTAATAATAAAAATATAAAAATAAAAACAATAATTACTAACCATTCTTTAATATCTCTCTTTCACACTGAAAACAACCCAACACTGAACAAAACTTTCACCATCTTGTAACACCCACTATATCTATCTCCAAAGGTGTGCAATTATTATCATCTTCATTTTTGTATCCATTGCATATGTCCTCTTTTGATTTGAGAGAGAGAATCCATCCCAATATTCTTTGAATTGGCACCACTAGATCCAGTCTAAAGTAGTCTGCCCGAGTGGTTAATTACACCATTAAGATGGAATGCCGGGTGAGTCTCACACCCCGACCCGGTAGACTTGTGAGGGATAATTTTCCGCCATTATCATTACGAGAATATAAGAGAAGAGAAGCCAGAATCGTGAGGTAGTTGATGTGAAATCCTTGGATGAGACCAACTCGTCTTAATGAGTAATTACAATCACACATGAATATATACGTGTTCGTAATTATTTCTCTCACTTTAGTCTCTCATCATTTCAAATTCATTTGGAGAATTTTCATTGTTCAATAAACTTCTTAAATTGAATCTCCAATCAAAGTGAACTTTTATGCTTTGTTTGGAGGATGAGAGAAATTGAAGAAAAAAAAAAGAGATAAAAGAAAATAGCTAGAGAAATTAAAAATAAAGAGAAAAACATGCTCATGTCCCACACCACCACGCACTGCATGCACTCCTGGCCTGGAGCAGAGTCACCATACACTACTCGCTAGCTAGAACGTAAAACTACATATATACCCCTCCCTGCCCAATTGTTAATAAAGCATCTTTTATTCTTTTTCTTCTTTTTACATATACCCCACTGTTAGGTATATATAGTACGTAACTAGGTAGGGTACGTACGCATAGTACTATCCCCATCATGCCCTTTAGTTTTTCAATTATTCAAAGGATTATGCTATGTATACCCTAAGGTTTGTACCCCAATTTGTACCCCGCAATTTTGCACCAACACTTTGTGTTGGTGTAAAACTAATTTTTGTTAAACGCACCAACATTTGTGTCCGTGTGAATATTTATTAACGCACCAACATTTGTGTCGGTGTAAACCATCGAAATGTTTGTGCAAGCCTGTGGTGTACAAATGGGGTATATTTTTTGGTGTAAGTGTAGCATGGTCCTTATTTAAATTATTTTTAAAAATGTTCTACTTGAATTGTATGACTGGTCATCATTTTTCTTAAAGAGAGGGCATTTTAGAACATTTTATTATCGAATGTTAGAATAAATAGAACAAGTCTTATTTAAAAAAAGTGACATGTCGATGTCCCATTTGCGTAAATTACTCATCCTTCTTACACACAGTAAATACTACTCGTATTTGTTAGAGTGTCATCCCACATCGAAAGTTCAAGAGCAAAAAAATTGGTATATAAGCTCTTGAATTGAACTAACTAATCGATTGGATTCAATCTTTTAATGTGGTTCAACCCAAGTGTCTTATTGCCCAATTTAGTTGTCCATACCTCATCCTAAATTTTATCATGGTATCGGAGCAGGTTTTGGCCCACCTCGTTTGTCAAGGTGCCCGTCTAGACGTTCATTCCTAGCGGCCCGTTAGTATTTAGCACAGTTGTCCGTATGGAATATGTACCCAACGGCCTGTGGCCCGTTTAACACGAATGCTCGTCTGGAAGTCCATACCCAGTGGCTTATGGTCCTTTAGGTGTTGGCGCTCAAAAAAAGTTCAAGAGAATGAGAGTTTATTTGCAAGTGGTCAACCAGTTAGATTCAAAATGGCCCGGTTGTCCACTTGAGGAAGAGTGTTAGAGTGTCATCCCACATCGAAAATTTAAGAGCAAAATAATCGGTATATAAGTCCTTGAATTGAACTTCCGATGTGGGATGACACTCTAACACTATTCCTCCATTTACTTAGATATATATTGATCTTGTTCCACGATAAAATCTTACATTAGGTTTAACGTTTTGTATATACCCCGTATTATATTACACTATTTTCTACGTGTTCATATTAATTTTAAAAATCTTAAGCATTAAAATTGTTGTCCAATGCTTTAAAAAAAAAAAAAATTGTTGTCCAATGGACACTTAATAATGGCTAAACACTATTTTCAACGCGTAGGATAAAAAAGAGAAATTTACCTAAATAGAAAAAAAAGTATCGAACACTTTCAAGATTTTGGTTGGGATGATTACTCAACTTATTTTCTTAATTCTTTTTTTTTTTGAGTTTTATTAATTCTAAGGGTCCGTTTGGTATACGGAATTGATGGAATTGGAATTAAAATTCCATTGGATTCAATTTCCATAGAATTGAATTCATCAATTCCAATTCATTTTTTGCACTACCAATTCCAAATCCACATAATTTTTGTGCTACCAAATACCAGAATTAGAATTGAAGTGCTCAATTCCAATTCTATAATTTGAATTTCGTGTACCAAACGGGGCCTAAAGGAATATATAGTTTTGGGATTTTGGCATTTCTTAGACAAAGTTATTGCAGTGGAGCCATATTTCATTTTTCTTTTACTTTGTGGGAGTCTCTAATTATATGAGAGGTTCTCTACTCCTTTATTAACCTTTGGAATTGAATTTGGATGCTACACAAAGCTTCATTCATTAGCAATGACAAGTTTAATTTTTCCATTCCAACTTTATATTAATAATCTAATTACTCTCTCCGTTCACAAATAAAGTTCTCGCTCCGTCCACAAATAAAGTTTCTGTTGCGCGTTATGATATTTGAATGAAATTGATTATTTTCAAATTATTTTATATGAAAAATAGTATGAAATTTAAAAATAAAAATTACATATTTTAAAACTGCATGAGAACATTTACAAAATTAGATGTGACATTACTATATTATTTTATCAAATACGACACACAAATAAGCTATGATATATATATGAGACAACAAGCAAGTGGGAGCTAGCCTGAGAATGACGAAACAGCAAGGAGCTCCTTTTGGCTCACGACGTCACGATTGCCGCTGCCGGCGCCGCCACGATGAATGGCCGGCAAGTATCAAACCCGAAACCATCACGGACGACGGTGAAAGTAGGATCTCCAGAAGATACTCTGCTTCTCACGCAACCAGTTTCAGAGAAGAAGAAGAAGAAGAAGAAGACGAAGATAATAAGACCGTTATCAATCATAAGTCGTCGGCCTCTTCGAGATCAAACTTCACCATTTCCAGCACCGTCTCTTCTCCGGGCTACAACTTCAAAGGTTTTTCATTCATTAATACGGAGTACTTTATATAATGAACTTTTAATTTTATGATCGATCTCATACATTGAGAAATAAAAACATATGATGCCATTTAGGAAACTCATTTGTTGCTCTTTTTTTACAGAAGAAATCGACCTTTCCTCTTATTCTTTTTCCTCCGCCCTCGGAGGTAAGTAAATTAAAGAAAGCTAATATTGTCGTTAGATAGTATTCTTGAAACGCTAAAATTAAACGTTGAAACAATTGTGTTTTGCATATATGTACATAAATAATGCAGCGTTACAGGGGCGGAGATGGGAGGGCACGGGCAGAGGAGAGGGATTGGCGTTGAACTCAAAGTGGAACGAGGCGGAGAAATACATATGCAATCCGTTGTCAGGGGAGGTGCCGGTGGAATGCCTCTCTGCAAACACACGGCTCCGCGGCGGAAGATCCTTCCGGTCGTCGGACCGGCTAACCACCCGCCGCGGCCGCCGGAGTTCAATGTCCGCCCCTCTCTTTTATCCTCCCAAACCCCATAATCTACTGCACCACCCTCATCAACCACACCACCATCTTCTTCTTGGAATCATAACAGACAAAAACCCCGCCGCCCCCGGCATTCCAAACAATATGCAGAGTACGTTTTTTAAATATAATACGAAGTATATTAATTATTAATTAATGTTCACGTGCAAGATTCGAGTAACTTTTATTTTTTTTATTGTAGAGGGGGAGAAAATGGCAACAACATGTCATCATCATCATCATCATCTTATTGGTTCAAAAACATCAAGGAATTGTAGTCCAGCAGCAGCAGCCCCAACCCCATCCAATATTAATATTCAAGAGAGCTCACCAGTAATTATGAGGACTCATTCTCATCCCTCCTCCTCCTCTACTGCAAAAGTACAATCTCATGAGGAAAAGGTCAGCTTTTTCTTATTAGTATCTATTAGTACTATCTTTGAACCCTTTATTTTTATTTTACAAAATGCATCTATTTTTTTAATTGAAAACATTAATTTATTAGGGCATAAATTGTGAAACTTTGTGACGAAACACTCCCTTAATTCTCAAGAGAAATAACTTCACACATTTTTTTATTTTAATGTCCAAATAGAAAATTCATGCACTCTTTTTGCGAAATTTGCACTAAACAGTACTAAAACATACTCCCTCTGTCCCACGAAATTTTTCTCCTTTTTTTTCATTCGTCCCAAAAAACCATGCATTCTATTTTTTTTAATTAAAACGTCACTTTTACCTCTATTAATTCTTAACCTACCTATCAAATCATACTTTTTGTCTCTTAATCTACTCATCCATCCTACTTTATCCATCGCATCAAATGGGATTTTTTGGAAAGTCAATAACAAAATACACTCTCCTTAAATCCTTTAAAAGTCAAAATGGGAAGTTTTTTTGCGGGACGGATGGAGTATATCTTTTCTCAATGTAGTACTTAAACTTTTTTATTCCTTAAATAGTACTTGAATAATGTCTAGTAAAAAAAATAATGTCCAGTGATTGTAGACATTTAGTTTCAACAATATCCAAAGGCATTGGACATTTTTACTTGAAGAATGACCAATGGTGGGTATTGAATAGTGGTACTAGATTGGAAAACAAAATCATATGACACTACATTAGAAAAGTCACTATATTTTAATACTATTTTGGTAAATTCTCCCAATTTTTTGTAACAATTTTTTTTATTTTATTTTGAGCGGCAAGAGAAACTCATGATTATTGGTCATTTGGGTCCCTCACATGCATGCATATATATGACATACGGAGCACTATGGTGGACATGCATGTTTGTCATTCTTGATTTTTTGTGGGTGAAGAGATGTTTAGAAATATCTTTATCCGAGAGTATTTGTCTACTTTTATTTTTACACATCATCCAATGTACTTCTCTAATCCATTTTATCTTATAATTTGTATATTAAAAAATTATAGAAATTATATATTAATAATCTACTCCCTCCGTCCCGTGAAACATTTCCCCTTTCTTTTTTTATCCGTCCCACAAAACACTTCTCATTTATATTAAAAAGTCACTTTTACCCCTTACTTTTTCATACCCTAACTATCACATCATATCTTTTTACTAATAATCTATCCATCAAATCATACTTTTACCCATCACATCAAAGGACATTTTTGGAAATTCAATACCAAAATACACTCCCTTAAATCCCTCCTAAAAAGCAAATGTCCCATGTTTCACGGGACGGAGGGAGTATATATTAAGACAAATCAAACAAGATCACACATGAATATATTTAGGCTTAGACATTGAGAGAATTTGATGAGTCAAAGTGCTTAGATGAACAGTTCCAAAAGTTAAAAGTAGACAAAAACTGGGGGACTGAAGTATAGTTTTTTTTTTCCTTTAATGCTTTGATGGATCATCAGCTTTTAATAAACCTGTGCAATAATTGAAGAAAAAAGAGGATTGATTTTTCTCCTTTTGGGGGTGTCAAAGACATACAGATTTAATTAACATGTTTCCTTTGGAGCGTATTAGTCCTTTTATTTCCACCTCATTCTATGGCAAAAAAAAAAAGAAATGAAAAAAGAACTTGCACAAATATAAAGGAACATTTAGATTAGATTGGCATATGTTATTTTTGTCTTCTTCATAGGGTTTATATGTGGAAAAGGTACAGAATGAGGTGGAAATAAAAGGAATTATTTGTGATGGGGAAGGTTCAAGTGATATTGGACCTCAATATCATGAGATGACCCAGGAGCGCTTCGGTGTTTCGTTCGTAAAATTGACGGTTTTTACCCCCACTAACTCACCCGGTAAACCCCTACACCCGGCTCCGACCCAAACACATCCCCCACTCCTCTTCAATTGCACCTCACAAGTTTATTTTGACTTTGGGATCAAAATTTGATTCCGAAGTCAAAATCAACTTATGGGGTGCAATTGAAGGGGATAGGGGTTGTTCGGGCTGGGGCCGGGCGGGGGATTTACGGGGTAGAAACAATCAATTTTTCGAATGGGACACCGGAGCGCCTCCGGGTCATCCCATGACATTGAGGTCCAATTTCACTTGAACCTTGGTGATTTGCGATACTTATGCACATTTATTACATACATTACGTACCTTTTTATTTTAATTATTAATTTTCTAGTTTTCCAAAAAAATAAAAAACACTACTTCCATCTCATATGGGCCCGTTTGGGAATAACTTTTTCGATTAACGCTTGCATTTTGGAAAAAATGTTAACGGTACAGAAAATTTAAAAACGTCAACTCTAAATACTACTCGTTGATAAATTTTCAAAACATTAATGCTAATCTCTTACGGTATTTCCAAATAAGCCCATAATATACAATATAAACTAAATGTGATTGATGATTAAAATTCGTCCAACTTCACTCAGAAAGTCAAATTGGACGAATACTCGATCAAGCATAACAAAATGAAAGCATATTTTTTAATATATTAAATTTTAAATCTTAGGGTCATTCAGTTATAAATATTTTTGTTAATATCTTAAATTATATACCGTCTTTAAAATTTTAAAATTTGAATGTATTTCAATTTAAAAAATTTCATGAATACTTTTATTATTAGTCAAACCCAAATTTGATCGTAACCGACCCGGCTGAATCTTAAACCGAGTCCTGTTCAAAAAAAATAAATATCCGAAACCGACCTGCCAAAATCAAACCCAAACGCGACCTAAGTCGGGTCGGATTTCAATATATACTCAAACCCGACCGAACCCAACTTATTGTCATCCCTATTTACGAGCATAACTATTTTTCAGTAAAATGAGTATTTAGTTAGTCGAAAATGAGTATCTAAATACTCGAAAATGAGTAATCGCCTCCGGTGTACGAGAAATACTGTTTAAGCATTTGTACGATGTATATTGTGATCTTTTTTTGTGAGGGAATTTGAGATAAAAGAGTAACATTTTGATTAAAACCCTATGATTTGATCAATGTAAATGAACAAATTATATTTCAAATATGCATCCTATAAGTTGAGTGTCTTTGACTTTTTATAGAGAGAAGAGATAAAAGGAGAGTCAAGGAAGGAGGAAGCTGCAGAGATCACCGGAAAGAATGAGTTGGGAGAGAAAGGGAAGCAAGAGACGGCGGCAGAGTCGGAGGAGCTTAGGCGGAGGAGGCCAGGAGGAGGGTGTTTGTTGTGGAGGCGTTTCTTGTGGATGAGAAAAAGGGAAAGAGATAAGGAGAAACTTAGAGGACCTACGAAAATTAAGAATAGTCATTGTAGTAAGAACATCTTTCTTTGCCCCATTCATCAATGGTAATTAAAAAAAGATTAAATTTTATAGTTGGTTCTCTCTAAACAATAAATTTTCATATTTAGTCATTCTATCAAATATTACGTTTGTGATACTTTTTCACATATTATCTTTATTGACTATTTGTCATGTTCATGTTAAATGAAGATCGTGACAAAGGTATAATTTCAATCAACATGCGTATTGATATATTCTGATATTGATTTGACGGACAATAGAACAATAAAGATTAGCTATGACTGTGGACTAAGATTCCATAGACTATGCTTACAGTAAAAAGGTAGCTAGTAGCGACCTCTACATTAGCTATGATAAAAAAGATATATGATCTTTTTGAATTTATACTTGAAGCATTCTTTTAACACCAACACGATAGAGGATCTAAAAAACATGACATTACGGAATATTATTATTATTATTTCTTCCATCTCAAATTAAATTACCTGCTTACTATTCACAACCTCAAATTTCATTTACTTTTTTTTGTATTTTTGTTAGTAATTTGATAAAATAATATAATCATGCTACTAGTTATTTTGTAGATTTTTTATATAATTTTAAAATATGTTTATTTTTTTTATTTTATGCTATTTTTTACATAAAATCATTTGAATTGAGCCAACATTAAACAGAACACATATACAATAGATTTTCTTCTAATTAAGGAGAAAGAAAAAAGAGGATTATAAGGATATTTATGTGATGTTCTATGAATTGATACAAGCTCTTTTAAAAAATAAACACATCAAATGAACATATTTTTGTAATTTCTCATCACACATTAATAATGATTTTAATTAGTGATTTTCAAATACTCCCAAAATATTACGGATCGGCTTAGGAACAACCGAACAAGGCTTTTTTAATAAGGAAAGGATAAGAGAAAATAAATGCAGCGACGTAGTCGTCGTTATCGTCAACTCTAAGATGAAACCAGCTGCTACTGCCGCCATGACGGGAGGAGGCGTCGCCGCCGCCGTCTCCTGCTCGCAGATTTTCCCGGTCAGCAGCAATAATCTGATCTCCCATTTTCTCTCCACAAATCAATCTCAATCCTTATCATCCACACTAAGGTTAGGATCGGCGGTTTCCGTTTATCAAGCCTCGATTTCGGCCAAGCCCCTGAACCGGATCCGGCTCAAGGTCTTCTGCGGCGCTGCCGATTCCACTCAGACACACTCGTCCCAAACGTCCGTCATCGTCGATGATGAGTTCTCCCTTTCCAAGGTGGGATAACATACTACGAAGTATTTCTTAATTAAGTTACATTTGAGATTTTATGCCTTTGTGTAGATTTTATTTTGAAATTTGTTTGTTAGGGTTGTTCTTCTCAAGTGAAATTCACTTGACTAAACTTAAACATCTTGAATCGAACTGAAAATTGAATAGTTCAATTTTACTCCTATTTGAATAATTTGTGTGCTGCAGTGAACTGAACTGGATATAATTTGAATTAAGGGGCGCCCCTTAATAATAACCTTGTCTTTTTAGTGATGATTTAAAGCAAGCCAGTGCAATTATAATTAAGAATTCTGTTTGAAATGTTGGAATTCTGGATGGATGATAAGCTTGTACAGATTTGGCTAATGATGAGTTTACTAATGTATACCTTTTCTTTGTATCCCCAGAAAGTTTTATTTTGCTTCACAATATATGAATCTGAGTAATGATTTTAATACGGAGTACATTATATTTCATAATCTACTGCCGGCAGGTTTCATTTGGTGTCATTGGACTTGGTTTGGGGACTTCACTTCTATCGTAAGTACAGTCCACTGATCATATTAGATATACGGAATACTTCATAGTGTGGATGGATTTATTCTCTTCTATTTTTAATTCCTGGTGAAAAGAAGAAAGGATGTGAGGGCGGAAGAGGAAAATGTTGGAGTATGCACTATTTACTAAAACTATAATCATTGTTCTTTTTTTTTCAAAGAAGAAAATTGCTAATATTTTCCTCGAAATGCAGATAAAGAGGATGAACACTTTTATAGATTTCCTCTTTTCTCTTATCATTCCATTTTATATTGAACTTAAACTTAGGTTTGGTGCTAAAAGCCCACCAATGTATACAACAACAATAAAAAACCTCCAGAAAAATACCACAGGGTAGTCTCCGGAGAGTGTGTGTGTATGCAGACCTTATCCCTACGTGTAGGGTAGAGAGGTTGTTTTCAAAAGATCCACAACTCAACACGCCTATATATATAAATATATAAAAATGCAGAAATGTTGCTAAATGGGTATGTGTACCATTCCTTTTCTTCAAAATTAAACAACAAAATTGAGGCTCTGTCCTTTTTATTTTATGGTCCTTTCAGTTTCTAAGCATATAAAGATGCTAGAGTATTATGATGAGTCATGACTTCCAGAAATTTTATGTATACATATGCTACAGGTATGGTTTTGGAGCATATTTTACCATCCTTCCTGGAGCAGAGTGGTCTGCATTGATGCTTACATATGGCTTTCCTCTTGTTATTATTGGCATGGCCCTTAAGGTGACAATACATATTTTCCCTTAGTTCATCTTGATAAGAAAATAAAATCAATTTTTTTCGTAAATATTTTAGAGCCATGTAACTGTTTTGCAGTATGCAGAGCTTAAACCAGCACCATGTGTGACCTACGCAGATGCTCAAGTTCTAAGAGAAAAGTGTGCCACTCCAATTCTAAAACAGGTAAACTGCTAAACTCAACCATTTTTCGTATAGAGCATATGCTTGAAGCTCAAATTTTTATATTGTTAAATTTACTTTAGGTTAGGAGTGATGTGACAAGATATCGTTATGGAGACGAGCAGCATTTAGATGAGGCATTGAAACGGATCTTTCAGTATGGTCAGGTATTGACGTATTGTAACCATTTTCCCTGCAAAAAGGAGTCTGATTATAAATTAATGGTTTTAAGAACCTTTATCGTGATTCATGAGCATGATATCACTGCATATATAAAGCCCATTTGATATTTTTCTAGTGTAGAGTGAAGAAGTTTCTATCCGGATCAACTGTTAAAAGTTCTTTCCTTTTGATTGGTGTACCCTATCTAAAATTTGTTCTCTAAATAAACAAGGGTGGAGGAATTTCACGGAGAAGTGCTCCCATTTTGCAAATGATTCGTGAAGAGGTAAAGTTCCTTGAGACCTTCCACAAGTTTTTTAGGCTTTAAGCTTTGCTGGTATTTGTTTAGCAACTTTTCAGCTATTCTTTAGCCCAAAAAATCTTTTGCCCGAAATTATTTTCAGCTGATTTTTACACTCTAAAACTCATTCATTTGCCTTTAGTTGCCTAGAGATGTAATTTTTTCTGAAAATATCACACGTTCATTTTGCTGCATACTTCGTATATCACAGTGGCTAACAACTGCAAAGTAGCCGGAGAATTCATGCTTCATTTTGCAGTTTTTTGGAGCATCTGTTTTTTTACCATTGTCATCTCATTGGTGTGTATTTTAGGTTACTGAGGATGGGAAGTACTGTCTAGTTTTGGTGTTCAAGGCCAAAGCTTTGCAGTTATCAGATTTTGAAAAACGACAGGTGAGAGATTAGACCCCTCCCATGTAGAAGTAGAGCCTGAAGTTATATATGAGATTCCACCATATTTAGTTCAGTTCAAAAGTAGAAACTACTCAACTTTCAGACGAAAAGACATAATCTCCTGTTTCATTCTGATATGATAGGAAAAGTTTGCTTCCTTCTTTGGTCCCGGCATTTCAGCTGAAATTGGTAAGCTTTGTAGGCTTCTCTCTTACGTGTACCAATTGCGTTAATGATCTTCATCCTCCCTCCATGGGGAAATGCAAAGTTTTCGTAACCTCGATGGCGTCTTTAGATGAAATGACTATTTCCCCCTTGGTTTGTGACTTGTCTTGGAATGGTTAAGTTTCTCAGTGAATTTCTTTATGCTGATGAGAGATTTGGGGTTTAAGAAATGCTCCGTAATCATATGTGCCTAGAGCAATATCATAATAATAGTGAATTTTTCAGGCATATTTGTCACTCTCTTCATTTATATGTGAGTGCAGTTAAGGGAGGCAAGAACTTGTACGAAGTCCGATTAATTTCCAACACCACATTGTGAGGTCTGCATATATACTTCTCTGCACTAGCTGAAATGCTTTTGAGGCTGTGTTATGTATGGAATTTTACCTTCTTTCTTCTTCTTCTTTTTTTAAAGTGTGGCCATGTGTATGAAAATTCATATTTTGGAAACACACATCCTTTGTGTAAATAATTTGTGCCATTAATTTTAACATGCACCATGATAACCACGGGTAATTATAAATGTAGTGCTCTATCACCACCCACTTCAAATCAATAGTCACTCAACGTTTATCAACGCTGACCGCACCACATCTCACTTCATTTTATGCTCGTCCCCTTCACTTCCATTATAATGATTTTACTTTTATTTTTTATATAATATTTACCTATTTCTATTCAAATCAAAATCTATCTTTTTTTTAATTTAAAGAATTTAAGTGATTTTTTAAACATCTAATAAATAAAATACTACTAAAAACTGAAAAAAAAATATTGTAGCTAAAAAACATATTTCAGAATGTTGTTAAAGAAACTACATAAAACTAAATACAAACCATAAAAAGACTAAAAATAAAAACCAAAAGGTGTACCCCATTTTTACACCACTCCCTCCATAACCACTCATTTATTTTTTATTTTTATTTACTTAATTTTTTTTAAATTCTTGCCTATTTAAGTGGTAATGGAGGGGGTGAGGGACAAATGGGGTACTCCTTTGGTGTACCCCTAGCATTTTCCTTGGAGAAAAAAACGGGTCATGCTACATTTACACCAAAAATTGTACCTCATTTGTACACCGCAGTTATACACAATTTTCGAGCGGAGAAGAAGAGAGAATGGAACGGATAGGCAAATCGGTGCATGCCATGTGGCTTGGTTTACTTTTTTTTAAACCTTTAGATATTTTTAACAACCAATTTTTTAGTGTGGAGAATATTTGTATTTAAATAGTGGAATGCGTGTTTTCTCGTTGAAAATCGAACCCATGTTCACTTTTTTTTTAAAAAAACCTTTTTTATATAATTAATCTTTGATTTTTTTAATTAAAATAGGTTTAATTAATTTTAAGAAATAATCTTACACATATGATTTTTACCGTTTCTTTTCAAAAATTATAATTTAATTAGTACAAGTATGTATTCTTCTGAATGCATTGGATAATTTTATTTTTAGCCAATTTATACAAATTAAAAAGCATATAAGTAATATAATAAATAATATTTTAATAATCCTTTCGATGAGGGCAAATTGTGTATTGGGTCCCCAAAAGATGATGTGGAGGAGAGAAGTGAGAGTAGTCCTCCCTTTACTTCTCCATCTAATGTGGTTGCCCTAATGAATATTAAAATTTATTTAACTCAATTAAAAATAGTTGAAATGATGATTTTATATGGAGGTGTCAAAAGAGATCACGCTAGTACATACCAATAACAAAATGATACTTCCTCCATTTTACAAAATACTCTGCAGTTCTCTAATTTTTCATATTTTTTATAATAAAATACTTCTACTTTCCTTTAAAAAGTCGTTTTTAATCACTAATTTTTGTTTAGCCTATTCACGTCGTATTTATTCACTATTAATATTCAATTAGATTGTATTTTTATATATGTATCTAGCACATCAAAAAGTAAAATTGACCTTTCACGTCATATCTATTTGTTATTAGTATAATCATACTTTTATCAACACATAAACTAAACTCTTTTTTGAACGAGAGAGAGTAAATTGATTAAATTCACTAAAATCAGTCAAGACCTACATGCTTTATCCTAAAACACAAGACAAAAATATAAGAAGATTGATGTGGGAGACATCAAAGTGGTGTCGTTATATTAACACAATATGCATGCACCGACACTTATTATTGTCGGTGCAATGCATTGTGTCAAAATCGTGTCACCACTTTCATGTCTACGTTATTCATAGAACAAAGACGTGAAAAAAGATTAGAATAAATCTGTCCTAAAAATCATCCTCATCATCATCATCGTTGTCGTCAACGTTATTTTCCTTACCACCACCATCATCATCATCGCCGTCGTCAAAGTTATAATCCTCACCACCATCATCATCCTCATCCTCCGCCATTGCTTCAGCTGTCGCAAGAGCATTTCTCAGAAGCGCAGCAGCCCGCTCTGCAGTTCCGCGCAGCTCCGGAAAATCCTCTTCTTCCGTAACCTCCTCCTTCGTCGTCTTCTTCTTCTGCTGCACGGCTTCTTGGCCGCCGGAGATCTCGTGGTGGAGGTTATTATTACGATCTTTCGAGACAGGGGCAGTTGAGTAATTTCTGAAGGGATTTGACACAGCGTTGCAGGTGAGGAGGAGGAGGGACCGGTTAGCAGCGTCGGATCTCCCGCGTGTAGTCGAGGCGAAGCAGAGCCTCTGGAGGAGAGACGATCCGCCGCGTCTTGCAATTGCCGCCATAATTTCAGGCCGCCGGCGGGAGGACAATCGGGACAAGGAAAACAAAGGGTTTTGAGGAAGGGGCCAAATATGAATGAAGAAGAAAAAAACCCTAATGCGTTCTCGGTATTGGGGATTTCATAAATATTAAAAAAAAAACTCCGCAGCCCTTTTAGTGGTATTCCATAAAAGTCTCAGTTATATGTTGTTTTACATATTTAGTCTCTACATATCAAATATTACTAATTTAGTCCTTAATTATTATATTCATTTCAATGAATGGTCTTTTGTTAACATTTCCGTTAAAAACGTGGATAAAATTGTAAATTCATTCCTTTCTATCCTCAATTAAACTTCCTCTCTTCGTACTCCTTTCCCAAACCCGTCGCTGAGTTTGAAGCTTTGAACTCAAAACCGATATCATCATCACTCTTCTCTCAAGTGTTTGTCTATTTGGTGGAACCCAAATTCGAAACCAATAACCTTCATGGATGAGTTTTAATGGTTTTTTTTGCAATTTCTTGAAACTAACCGATATAACTCCTACATAAAGTTTATTGGTTTTGATTTTAGGTTCCACCAGGAAGACTAATAATTGAGAGAGGAATGATCATTTCAGTTTTGGGTTTAGAACTTCAAACTCAGCGACGAGTTTGGGAAAAGAGTACGTGATGAGGGAGGAAGCTTAATTGAGGAAAGAGAGAAGTATGAATATATAATTTTGTCCATGTTCTTAACGAAAACGTTAACAAAAGACTATTCGTGAAAAATGAAATAATAATTGGGGATTAAATTAGTAATATTTGATATATAGGGACTAAATATGTAAAACGACCTATAACTGGAGACCTTTTATGAAATTTATTCAATTAAATTAGTCCAGCTTCTCTAATAAGATTTTTTAGAAATAGCGTTAGAAATTAGCATTAGCATTAACATTTAATTTCAGGCCGCCGGCTGGAGGACAATCGGGACAAAGAAAACAAATGGTTTTGAGGAAGGGGCCAAATATGAATGAAAAAGAAAACCCTAATGTGTTCTCCGTATTGGGATTTCATAAATATAAAAAAACTCCGTAGCCCCTTTATACGCGAAGCAGAAATAATTTAGTCCAGCCCAAAAACAAGATTTTTTGAGAATAACGTTAGAGATTAACGTTAGTGTTTTAAAAAAACTATCTACAGGCATCGTGTATCGTGAATATTTTCAAAGTAATCTGCACATTATTAACATTATGTTCAAAACGCTAACGTAAATCTCTAACGATATCTCCAAACATGCTTTAAATAAATGAAATTCTCTTTTATGATTAAACAAAAACAATTACTTTCTTTTTTTATTTCGTACACCCTGAACCCTGTTTTTGGGTTTTTCTTTTGGCTATTTTCTCTTTCCGTTTTAATCCTTTTTTTTGTTTGTTATTTTCGTTCCATGATTTATTTGTTTACGAAGTACTTTGTTTTTACTCCCTTCCTCCCAAAATGTAATCAATATTTACTATTTTGTCTTTTTAGTAGTTTTATTTATTTACTCATTTTAGTTGATTATTTGATAAAATAAAATATTTTTGTCATATCTTGTTGTGTAAAACTTTTGAACTATTTTTCAACAGTATGGATAAAGAGTTTAGCCATCAAATTCAAGCCGGGCTAGACATGCCCATGTAAATGGGCTAATAATTTGTATCAAGCCCGACATTGGCACAGGTCTAATGACAAAAGGCAAGAAACTTCATAGCAATTTTTAGGAGGTGGTAATCTATATCATCAAAACAGTCAAAACATCCAGGGTCTTCCTTGATACAACCAAGAACAATTCAAAAGACTACCATATAATGGTCATAATATTGTTGCAAAGAGAGACCAACAAAGTTAATATGGTAGTTAATTAAGTTCTACATTTCTTCTACCTCCTGGGGTTTAATTACTACAGCAGTATAACCTTATTAAGTTGATCATCAACATGGTTGTTTCACAGTGGACATCATCCATGGAGCCATTAACCTCTTTCGCCTGAAATTAAACAGTATGGTTTAAAAGATTTGTATATATCCCATTAATTCCCATTACAAGAATATTATGCTAATGCAGAGATAGCCTTTTACCTGGAATTGACACACTTCTCAACTGTCTCTTGATGTGCTTCATCAAAAGCAAACCATTTCTCGTTAGATGCAACGTCTTCGGCTCCTAACTCTGTACATCAATGGAAGATAGCAGGGTCAGCATCTTCAATTAGAAGAAAGAGAGTAGAATGTATGAGGTATACTTAAAAACTGGACCTTGAAGAAGTATAACAGATTTGTTAGAAAAGCATGTCAGCCTCCAAAACACCTGGCCATTTGTGTCCATAAAGATGGGCTCTGTTCGCATTGCATCTGATTTTTGGCTACCTATAGACAAAATAAACAAAAGTCAACTACTAAAACTTATTTACAAGATTCTCAGAGTGATTGAATAGCCCACTTGACATTTTTCTTTGTAAAAAGTTTGCATGCTACGACAGTTGTGAAAGATATTAATTTGTTACTTTGTAATTTTTAACAAGTATGTACCTTGAGTATGTAATTGTGAACAATGGTGGTGAAAGATAACTTTTGTTGACTTTTAAGGTAAAAACACGAAGATTAAATAGGGATGGAGGGAGTACACTTTAACAATAGACCCCTTGTTTGTAGGAAAGTAGCATGAGCTTCAGCTGCTTCACGCTTTGCCTGAGTGACAATAGCATCATGCTCTAATACTGAAATGGGTGCACCATTCTTTGCAATGACTGTTGCAACAACATCACCTTGAATCTTCTGCTTCAAACGCTTTTCCTATACAATGCTCCAAAATGATAATTGTTTTTTTTTCTGGAGAGTCTAAAATAACAAAATATTTTTATTTGACGTTTGTTTGGATCGGTTAATCCATTCTACCTCCTCTCGCGCAGCAGAAGCTTTTTCTTTTGCTTCCTTTGCCTTTTCAGCACATTTTGATTTCTGCTCATCTATCCAATTCCTTATCCTTCTGTATTTGCACCCATAAACAAGTTTATACATTAATTTCAAATTAAATGTTAGGGAATTTGTAATATTTGAGACTTACACAGTATCAAGTAATTCATCACACACAAAGTTCAATAGCTTAAGCTTTTTTGAGGAGCTTAAGCTATCAAACCCATCGTCTAAGGAATCCAACCCCATATTCTTTGAAACAATTGGGGACTCAGAAAGGAGCTCTTTAAGAGATTTGAGCCATGATCCCTTATCATCGGTAGGAGTTAAGATGGGAGACCTGGAATAGATCAATAAATCTTCAGGTATAGTTGTGAGGAAATTAATGGAACGGAAATTGCTCATTAAACATGAGGAAATTGGATATACCCTTCATGCTCCTCTCCTATGAATGATAGCAAATGCATTAGAAACTGAGCAGTCACGTTCGTTTCCCCCCGTCTCGAGATTCGTCCTTGTACCAAATCCCTGAGTATAGCTTCTGCCTGCCCTCTCTTTATATCAAGAATCTATTGAAGATAAATATTCAGTCAGAATTTAGAAGAGTCAGATGTAACAAAGTTTGATTTGGTTGGATGGCCAGTTTGGTTTCTTAAAATTACAAAAACTAGTTGTCAATGAATGGGGGCCAAAAATATGATATTTATGGTAGAGAGATTAATAAATTAAACAAGCACCCTACAAGAAACAATGTGACAACATCATGTTCTTAAATCTTAATGTATATCTACAATATTCCATTGTTGGGAACCAGAAAAAGCAGCACACACTTACCTTTCCAAAAGCAGCACAAAACTCTAAAAATTGCAGTGCACTTCCAACATCTTCTTGAAGGAAATCGCTGCCAGCTACAGACGTAAGTCCAGTTCCCTGAGGTAGGGGAATAGTAGTATTGAAGTTATTTTTTTGGATACATAGATCTTTAACAATGTCTTCATCAGGCTTCTTGATCGGCACTTCCATCTTTGTTTTTTCAGATTTATTGTCATGTTCACATTCACCATGTGTTGCATTCTTCTGGAAACTCTCTTCAACAGGATTATTGATCTTTGATGAACTCTCTTGCTTCATTTTCTTAAATTTCCTCTTATCGGGGGAATTAACAGCAGTCTTTGATGAAACCTTATCACCCACGCCATTGCATTGTATCTCCTTGCATGCTTCTCGTTTATTTTTTCTAGATCCCTGTTCAGTAGGATTATGTGATGAAGTAAGTGGTTGAGCATTTAGTCCTATACTCCCATTAAATTTGTTTTCCTTCCCCCTCTTGGTTGGGGGAACAACTTCGGTCCCCTATCAACATTTAAACTAGGATGTGAGACTATCATTCAATCAAAATATTTCTGTAATTTTAATTATCAAGGAAACAATGGCATGAATATTGCTAAAAGTGACAGTACACCACTACCTTGCTTGAATCACTGTTCTTTTTAGGCAGAGCATCTTTGTTTTCGACAACACTTTCATGTTCAGAGTTTTGACTGTTTCCTGGTGCCTTAACTTGTAGCATTTCTGAAACAGAAGTAAATCCAGTTGCTTTGGCTGTGTGTACAAGAATGCCAGTGGGCTGGTAACCTCTCTTTTTCCTGAGTCATTATATTTACTGATGAGCAAACTACTGGGATCATCAAGGACTTTTTGGGTACATTTGGAACATGGAAAATAGAAGGGAAATGAAAATCATGAAATGAAGAGCTGTAGTTTGTATGTGAAATTTTAAATTAGAAAATACAAATGACAAACAGATTTGGTGTAAAAATTAAATAAGAATTACATATATAGATTTAATAGTCTTTATAGATACACAGAAGTAAAATGGGTTAACAAATATCTTCAATAGATTTATTGTGTGAACTAATTTTCTATTCTTCCCTTTCAACTTTCCAAACTTACTCTCTGTTTTCCTTTAAATCTTACAGAGTATTTCCCTAGCAATTTTCATGTTCCAAATGACCCCGCAGAAACACCATAAAGAAAAGGAGAGAAAATTCTACATGCAGAAACTGCAGTTGCATATGCCCATGCATTTTGGACAGATCCAGTCGTCCGTAGTTGCAACTTCTTCTGCCTTCTCCCCATACCTGGTATATAAACACATTATAGAAACTAAAGCTTCTCCACAATAACGCAAAACACAAATAAATATGGAACATAACATTAGATACATGAAAAACAAAGGAACATACCTATTCAGGAGGCATTTGTGGCAAAATTGAATGGTACAAGGCTTACCATCTTTTATATTCTTGCATCCGGACATAATGTCCATTGTTTTTTGACGGCACTTCAAAATATCATGTTCAAATATTAGATATATTACACATTAATGAAGAGCATATCAACACACAACTTTTATGAAACAACATGGATGCATAGTTAAGAAAGGTCAGGAACTTTACACAAAAAAAGTAGAAAAAAATCCCTTAAGAGTGAGTTCAGTGAATAAAAAACACCACACAAAAGATAGCATTTCACTTTATGCCCTTGAATTGTGACAATTGCAAATGTGGGGCAGACTAATACTCTTTCTATCCCCTTGCATATTTACTATTCACCGGATAAAAATTTAATCACGTTCTTTACCCATTTTACTACCTATCTCATAAAATAACATAGGTAGTGAAAATGGGTATCAGTAAATTACATTCTTTAATCACTACCTATTTTCACTAAGAACGGATGGATATCAGTTTAACCCATAGATTCATTACTGTTCAAAGTTCTAACATGCATCAAGATTATGCTTCACACATTGAACTTTCATCCCTTCCCTATTCCACTGAAACAGTTTCAATTTGCAAATTCTCAAACAAACAGCTTTGATATATAATTTCATCGCAAATAACGCATTCAAAAGGAAATTATTGAGATGACAACGATGATTTCCAGTTTTCTGGCCGGAAGGGAAGTGCAGTTACCTGGTGACAAGTCCGGCCATTCTGGGAATCATAGATCCGGCTGCCGATGACTCGAACGCCGGGGCACTCACTGCGACGTTTTGCCTTCACTTCCTTGCCCGTCTTCTTCTTCGTCTGCTCAGCTGCCGGATCGCCTGAAACTGCCATTACTGTGACCGCAATCCTGCAAGCAATCTCAGTCTCGCTTTACTGGAAAAACGGGAGCGGAGCAGTTGAGTGTCGAATTTTATCGTGCTCCTGTAAAATTAGCGGGATTTTATTTGGGGAAAATTTCAAGCTTGATTCGAAATGCTTATTTAGGAGGAACATTGAATTGATCCCCAAATCTATATTCGCCCGCCATTTTCCCCCCCCCTTTTTTTTCTTTGGAGTTTCTTGATTTTGTCAAAGCGGAATAGAAAAAGGCATGGGAGGTGTCAACTTTTACCCCAAGCCTATTTTCTTGTCATGATGAGCATGAGGACATGACATGTGGACTGTGGATGCAAGGTATATGGGATAACCAGATGTACGGTACATCTGGGTAGTATTCATTTTGAAGTATAGTAGTTTTCATTCTCGCACAAATATAATTAGCGTGGTATTTATTCTAAAATAATGCAGTACTCGTTTTTCACACATTGGTTCAATATAATTATAATATTCATCTACAAATAATGTAATGTTCATTCTGAAACAAAACAGTACTCATTCTCAAATAACACAGTATTCATTCTCATTTAAAATAAAATCCATACCATAAATAATTTTTTGGTTGTACCAAAAATTAGGTACAACTGGATGTATAATATAATTTGTCGTGGCCGCGTGCATATCAAATTCATCCCAATTTTTTTTCAAATTGATTAACTTCTCGTACTAATTCGTTGGCTTTTGATTGATTTCGTTGGTTCCTACACTATTCAGTATCATTGGTTTCCTGGTCATCTCAGTATCGAATAAATCCAAGTTCTCATACTCTTGTTGAAAATGAGAATTATTTTTTCAAAGTGATGACCAAATGGGTCGGTTTTACCCAATAATAAAAAAATACATAGCCTTCACAATAACTCAAACTCAATACCTTTCAAAAAGAGTCGTAAATATTGAAGATGGTGGCCAAATGGGTCACTCTAACTACAGTGAAAACAAAATGTGCTAGATAAAAACAAACATAAATAGTATTAAAGCGTCAAGCTTATGCTAAAATATTTCTCTATTTTTTTATTTCTTAAATAAGAGTTTAACAACAATGCAACACCAATATTTGACATTGAGTGTTAGCATTTTTACACTATTTTTAACATTATTTATTCATACCATTTGAGAACATAAGTCATATTTGGTAGAAAAATATTTAAATTCATATTTAGGTATATGAAACATGTTTTACTGGTAGTTTGACAGTTCTCTCCATCGCTTAAGGGAGAAATTTTCGATCACTAAGTAGTTGGAGCGCTTCTAAAGAATCCTTTATCATCTCACATATCAACCCGACTATCATTCTAAGATTAAGGAGGAGAGATGGACATTCGTTCGTCCGTTTATTTTAACTCTTTTGGAGTAACATCTATCATAAGTATAAGATTTACCACGATCCCTTGTTACTATATGTCAGACATGTTTGCTCGGCCCATTTCCCAATGGGCTAAGAGGTTGTTCTCTTTTTTTTGTCTGATTGGATTTGATTAAATCGATCTGGTGTATATAATTCGATTTTAACTATATTTTAAGCGGTTTCTATTCTGAATTGGTCTTATTTGATCTGATATGATTTCAATAAGAATAATTGATAAGTAATAAGAAAAAAACTAAAGTACGAGTAAAACATTAAAAATATACCCTATCAAAATAAGAGTTCCATGTTTTAATTTCCAAAATAAAAGTTAAAATGCATTTACATTACCAATCATGACTATTTACATTACCAAAAAATGCAAAAAGTATAGTAAAATGTCCACATATAGTGTCACATTACCACACTGCGAACTCTTGTTTAAAGAATAAAAATATGACACTCATGTTTAGGTACTTTTTCTATACTTTACTTTTATTTAGGTATTTTTCATATGTTTTACTCATATATAAAATGATTTCGTTAGACAATAAAAATAAGTCAAACAAAACAAGCTCCAAGTAAAGGGACTATTTTCTTTTACACCATGCCCATTTTTTTGGATTATAGTTCATGATCATTTTAAGCTGATGGGCCACGTTTCCTTTCCTTACAATAGTTCAAATTGATACTCCATGTGTTAAATTAAATTATCTGTTTATTATTTACGGAGTCAAACTTTATTTACTTTTTTTCTTTATTTTTAGTCATTTGATAAAATGATATATTCATGTCGCTATCAGTTTTGTAAATCTTTTGATATAGCTTTTAAATTTGTATTTTTTTATATTTTAATTTTACACCGTTTTCATCTAAAATGATTTGAAAATAACTTCAATCAAACATCATAAAATCAAAATAGTTAATCTAATTTGGGACGAAGAGAGTAGTTTATAATTGAGTAATGCTAGAATCACGGACAAACAGTTCATAACATTCACAAACTTGTCTTTTTAACATTTCACTATGAAGTATGAACAAGATGTACTCAAATACTCCCTCCGTCCTGAAATGTTCTTCCCACTTATTATTCACACGGTCAAACTTTAATCACTTTCTTTACTTATTTTCATTAGGTATTTGATAAAATAATATAGTCTTGTCACCACTTCTTTTGTAGAACTTTTGATGTAGTTTTTAAATATATAATTTTTATTTTTTAATCTTACACCTACAATCAAATAAATTGAATTAAAAATAAAGTCGGTCAAACTTCGTAAATAGAACCGGGAAGATCATTATAGGACGGAGGGAGTAGTTAAAAAAAATTAAATGTAAAATTCACAAAAGATAATTTTTTGAAGTTATAAAGGGTTTGTTTGTGACTTTAGCATTTTGAATAATAATTTGTTATATTTAGTATAGTCCTTTCGTCTCAAATTAACCGTTTCACCTTTTTTACAGTTTGAATCAAAAACAATTTATTATACTTATTTAGTTACCTAAAAAAGTAGAGAATTCGTGTCCAACAGTTTTTCTTTTCTTCTAAAAAAATCTCCTTTTCTTGGTTTTTATTCTTCAATATTTTTTCAAAGTTTGTGAAACTGCATCAATTTAATTCAAGGTGGAGAGACTATACATTCAAATATTTTAAAAAATTAAAATGAATAGGTTACCAACAGTTCAAAACTAAAGCTTCGAATTTATTTAATCGTATCAAGTTTAATTTAAAAAAATATTTATTAAACCAATCAATAAATTGCACAAGTGAAATACATTTATTATAGAGTATGTGATTGAAAATATTCAAGTTCTTTGTGCAGGAATGAGATCCTTCACCAGAACTCCCCCATCACCCCAGAAGCTACATTCAAAAGGATAAAATCCCATGTCACCATGTTTCTAGAGTATTAAGGGGCTGTTTGGCAACTTCTGAATAGGTAAGTGCTGAACCAGTAAGAGGTCTGAACCATTAAGAGCTACTAGTAGTATATTCCTTAACTATTCAGAGTCAAATGTCTAATCAATTCAGATAAGAGGTCTTAACCATTCACACTCTGTATAATACTTAACCATTCAGAGGCAAATGTCTGAACCATTCAGACATCTGCTCACGAAACAAACAGTCTGAACCATTAAGTGCTGAACCATTAAGAAGCTGAAACAAACAACCCCTAAATGTTGAATAGGAAATAATTGTGCACTTGTTTTGGTTTCTTTTAAGATGTATTGTGTATCTTACATTTTGATGGTGGAATAAAACCATATTTGCTTTCCGTTCAAAAAAGTTGTTTGTGTAGCTTGTATGATTTGTGTCCAAATTGTTTGGGTATATTTCTTGCTATGTTTTTTTCATATATCGCACGCAGGTAGGACTAACTTCTGTAGATTTAACACATAGTCCATCTTAATGTAGTCGTTATAGGGGAAGTCACTAATGTTAATTATATACTCTCTCCGTCCCAAAAAGAATATCATAGTTACTAATTTAGCGTCCCAAAATGAAATATTATTGTCGCATCTTGTTTTGTAAAACTTTTAATGTACTTTTGAATGGTATAATTTTTGCATTCTATTTCTCTACCAATTTGTAAATAAAATGATTCTAAAAGAGATGATACTTTACACGTCCATCGAAATGTTGCAAACAATTTGGGACATAGGGAGTAATTAGTAGTCCACATTATGCAATTGTAGCTCGTGCATGTGTGCTTTAACTTCTTCTCATGAAGGAAGACATTTGAAAAGCTCACAAATCATAACAGCCATTTGAGAACGTAGTACAAGGGAAAATCTTGGTGGTCATGTCATATTTGAAAGCGAAAACAGCGTTGGATGATGGGCTCGATTGAGAAGAACTGAGCAGATCATTTTAAAAGGACAAGTGAAAGAGGAGTACCGTTTGCTATTCATCATCACATATCAAACTCATGCATGTGGTCTAGAAGATAGTTTTCCGTGAGCTCCTCGTCTCTGTTGCATGCGAAAAACACTTCCAATACCAAAGTTTCATCGAACCCCAACGCTTCAAGCTGCCAAAACCATATCACCAAGTCAATAATGGGACTAATAGGGTATAACGACTCAATTGATGGGAGTATGGGACTAGTAAGTAGTGTGGACCCAAAAACAAATGTTTTCAAAGAATAAAGGAATCATGTACTTTCAAGAAAAAAGTCATGTACCACACTTTTTAGTTCTTTTTTTGCCCCAAAGAGCTGTCTGATTTGATCAAACAAATCTAATTTTAATGTAATTTGGCAAAAATGGTAACAAAGATGACTCCAGTAGAATCCTACAACCCGACAAAGTGGGGTGTGGGATGATGAGTGTGCGCAGCCCTTACAAAAATTATACTCGTGATAAAAAAAGTTACACATGATAAATTCAATCAATTCATCAAATAGTTTTTAAGATAAATAAGTACGCTTACTTTACCAAAATGTACTAGTTGCACATTGGTCAAATATAAAACTATTTCAGGACAGTTGTTGTATCACCTCATTCACCAAAGGGATGACATACTTTTTATGAACATCAAAAAGTGTAAGAGCCGTTTGTAATACCTTATCACACAAGTATTTTTATACAAGTTCTTTCCCATTCAAGCAATTAAAGAGCTTTTAAGAAAAAGCACTAATCTAAAACTTTCTCAAATAAGCATAGGAACTTGGGAGTGCTTTTTGCACTCTTAAATCACATTTTTTCCTTTTGCTTCAAATGCTTCATTTTAAAGGTAGAGTATGCTTTGTTTTCTAAAAAAACTTATCCCTTGAAAATAAGTGATAGTATATGCTCTCTGAAGCTACGTAGAAGTGTTAAGCTTACACGTTGAATAGCCTCGCGCTCTTCAGGGGTGACAGTGACTTGTGGTATCTCTCCAGCCAACTGATCCAATGTGTCCCTATAATACATTTGTCATGACAGATAATAACTAAGATATAGATCCACATAAGATAAAGCGTATGATGTAAATATGTAATGCCCCATGTGGTGAACAAGCTAAGCAAGGGCGCAATCCAGGGACAAAAAACAGTGTTTCATTTCTTTAAAATTGCTTTTATTTAAACACTCACTCACTCTCACTCACTCTCTCTCTCTCTCTCTCTCTATCTCTCTCTCAATGAGAATCAAGTAGACAAATAATAGAAACATTGCAAAATATGTGCTCTCACCCCTCCCCATCCACAGGTTCATTGATAAGGCGCAGAAAGTCAGCCTGATTTTCTTGAATACCCTGTACAATCTGAGGGTTTTGCATTCCGAGTTCTTGAAGCATATGCTACATGCAAAAATACATGCATAAAAATTGATATTCAAGCATTTTGGTTGAAAATACTCCCAACGTAGATACGAAAAGGGTCCGGTTGAAACTTTGAAAATTCTAGGTGAAGAAAATATGGAAGAAAGTAAACCCAAAGAAATTTGGGGGGAAATTTGTGTATGTGTGTGTGTGGGTAGTGTTCGTGCAAAAAACTTGAAAAAGTCATTTGCAAATCATTTCCCTAGCATAAGAAAACAACTATCTTAGGCATTTGTTTTCCTTTCCCTAGCATTTTCCAGGATCCAAACATGCCATAAGCAAACGAAGAAAAAATGGGAGACCAGTACCTGCAACATTTGAGGATTTTCTTGCACCATTGTTCTAAGGGCCTGGAACTGTTTGAGGAAAAAAGTAATCACATCTACTATTTGTAGCTATCTTCTTTGTTTGCTAAGTAACCCAATTATGGATAACTATTCCAGTGAAAAACACTTCGCATACCTCTGGATTATTGCGTAGAAAATCCAAATTTCCAGCTGTTGCATTAGAATTCAGATTTGGAAGGCCCTGATCACCGCGACAATAATATTTCAAAAAACATGTGAGGTTTTTCTGAAGATCTTTCAGTAACACCTGCTCTACCTTCATAGGTAGGAGTAAAGCCTGTATACATCCACCCTCCCAAGACCCTACTCGTGGGACTTTACTCGATTGTTCCATAGTACAAAAACAGCAATAAAAAAAACCAAGTTTATCCAATTCTGTTGGATTCTCAAAGGTTAAGATGTATACAGCCTTATCCTGGTAAAAAAAACAGAGAGGCTATTCTTGATAGACATTGATGCATTGTTGCATTTACTACCCCAAACTACATAGAATATAACATGTAAAATAAGTTAAAGCATTGTAAAAAATTACTCTTTTAGCCAAAGAAGCAGGTTGTTGTTAGGTAGTTTTATAAAAAACTGTGTTGTTAGGTAGTTTTATAATAAAACTGTCTGATTACACTACATGTACCTGTGGAAAGAGATCTAAAGGATTTGCATTCGGGCCACTAGAAGGTATTGTTTGTTGAGAAGCCAAAGGTGAAGGGTTCAAAGTTTGACCACCCGGAGTAGGGGAAGCTTGTGCAATATCATCAACCCCAACTTGCTCAGGAATGCCCTTTAAACAAATTGTTTCTCCCCAGGTTTAGAATAATAAACCAAGATAGAAACGCAAAGATACTAGTTACAGCTCACTTCAGTATAAAGTACATGGCACTCCAGAAGGAAAAAAATATACGATTTACAGGATTGCAGAAAAAGGAAGGTAACTCTAGATTATAGCCTATAATAGTACAAGAAACATGTCAAATTACGAAGTATAAGACTATCCTTGATATGAGATTCATAACTCATAACTTTACAAGTGATCATTACAAAGGACTAACCCACATCTTATGTTGAGAAAAATTGAGCCCAAGTTTGGTGTCTAATCCCTAGGATTTCTTTACTTATAATCCGTATATTTCTGTACTCTGCTTCTAAGGATGAGTTTGGGTATATAATACAAGAGTACACTTGCTAGCTTGGGTAACACAGTTGTTTAATAACATGATTATGTAATCCGGAGTATTTGGTAGTCACAACGTAATTACTACGTATAAAATTACTCTATGCGTGTTTGGTTACACAAGAGTGTAAGTGCGTCTTTTTTATTATTATTTTGAGCATTATAAGAAAAAGTTATAGTTGTAGCAATAACAAAATTATTGGACAAGACACGTTTAAAGATTTAAAATAAAAACCAACAAACCAATTTGAGGAAAATTAATTCACATGTAAAAAAAACTAGAAGGCTAGAATAACAATAAATCATAATAAAAAGTTAAAGTCGTACCAATAAAAAAGTTAATGTTTTGGACTGGTGTCTTTCTATTATTTTAAGATTTAAATAAAATCTTATTTAACTTGATTCAGGAATAATAATTGATATCTAAAATAAAATGGTAGAATAGCAATGCACCATAATAATAAATTATTGTATAGGACCCGTGTCTTCTAATTACATATGGCCAGTCAAAGTGCTACTGCCTCCATCCCAATTTATTGTCCCTGGTTTGATTGGGCTTGTGCATGAACACCGTGAACTACATAATACTTTGGGAAAGAGGCACAACAAATTGGTGGCGAGGGAGTACTTAACATATGGATGGAGGAAACTTATTTCTAATTTTATATATTTCAGGAAAACTTATGGTGCCAAATTAACAAAATAAATACACTCCGTAATAAAATCTCAAACCTGAACCTTCTCTAAGAAAGCAAAAAATAAAAAAGATTGCTAGAAGAAAGAAGAGATACAGAAAAAGGCATAACTGCTTAAAGAGCTTGCTTTGTGCTTGTACCAAAATAATCAGCACGTCTAGGAGTTAAAGCAAAAATATGGATGTCAGACCCAACATCTCGGTTCATTTGCTTCGTATATGGTACTTCAGAGTTCAGAATTTAAATTGAAATTTCAAAAAATGAACTCACCGAATACAAGTAATCAACAGCTCTCTCGGGATTGTTATATGCAGCACGCAAAGCACGCATGACTGCCTCCCGATCCCAATTTCCCCCACCAATTTCAAGAATTTCTTGAATTGTGGACTCTAAGGTACTTCCTGCTACATGGTTTGATACTGCCTGATCATAGACATCTGGCACAGAACTGAGCAAAAATAAAAACAAGCAAAAAAACTTGCCTTAAAAGGTTATAGATAAAAAAACCAAATTATTGTCTTGAAACATAAACTTTGGGTACATATTAAAATTTACTGTAAAACAAATGTAAGACAGTTTCGCACACAGAAGAAGCGGGATTTGGAAGAGTTGAGGCAGATTCAGGAGCAGACTGTGGGCTGCACATGAAAGCAGTGCAAAATTCATATTCAAAGAAAAGTTGCACAGCTAATCATGGCATAAAACGTAATTATTGGATTCATACATTGCCACAACAGAGGCAGTTGATGGAGGCGATGTCACTGTCTGTGTTGATTGTCCAGTGGAGGTTGGATGTTGAGCCTTCACAGCAAAAAAAAAACATTACCCATCAACAAGGCATTTGAACACCATTATGGAATAGGCCAAGAGGGAAACACATGAAGCAATTGAAATAAAGAAGTGGCTCTATTCTCACTGTATTTAAAGGTGTGGCTTGTGTTGAAGAGGCTTCACCTACTGAGGACTTGATCTACGATGAGTGACAATGCAAATTGATTATTACAACTGCTTATATATAAAAATTTTAGTATTAAGGAAAAAGAATTAATCAAGTTTCATCAATGAAGTATGTTAGTATGCATGCAAATAAAGTATATAAGTTCAGAACAGAGTGTTCTAGTTGCTCTCTATCAAACAAAGAATTCACCCAAACACTATCATGCTAAAATTAGAAGTGCATTTATTTGTAAAAATGACTGAGATTGTTTTGCAAATGGTACCTTCCTCAACATGATGACAACATAACTGTTTTCAGCAACATTATTTTCTTCCACTGTTGTTGTGTCCTTGAGAACTTTTCCCTGATGGATAAGTATCTGTTGTTCAGCAGGGTAGACACCTGAACCCTGAACAGTTTCTATGTTTTTCTTTACATCCGCAATCTGAGATCAAAATCAACTGTGTCAGCTAACACACACACACACACACTTTTTAAAGATGCTTGTGCTTTAATTATTGTTGAGAAAAGGTGTGAAAGTGATAATATGCTTTCAGGATCCTAGGAACAACACATGCAAATCATGTGCAAAGTATGTAATCAACTAATCAATACCCATGCACATACAGAATTTGGGGAAACACTTTCAGTAGGGTAGAAAAAACCAAGTGAATTGTTATTAACACTTAGTTTTGCACACCAAATGCCAAATATAGGGGGAACAGAACACAGCTAGTGAAACGCTAGATCCAAAAAATCATTCTAACAAACAATAACTGGCTTTCATTGATTTATTTATTTATTTTAAGCAAGTTCTGTCGAGTCTCTTAGTCCCTGATCCGTGATCACCAGGCATTATAAATTGGCTTCTTCTGCAAAAACGTTCTGGAAACAAAGTTTTACATGTCTCCATGATTTCACACCTGATAACTGCAAAATTTTCTGCTACTAGTTTCCATGTGCCTTGGGGGCCCTAAATACCTAAAAACAAGCCTGTACCTGTTCAAGTTTATACTCCTTAACGCATTATATAGCAAAATATAATCAATGACAAGTATCCACAAACACACTAGCGAAGCTAAACTTGAAATTACGCATTAATTTTTAGCGAGGAAGGAGAAAAACAATAAACCGCATTGAGAATTACTCCATTTAGATCTAGAATGAGCAACGAGACACGGTTCGGAACCCTAATTTCGAACCAGAACGCATATGGAGAGATAGAGCGGAGTACGTACCGTATCGTCAGGTTTAACTTCGATCGTGAAACAAGAGCCTTTCAAATTCTTCACGATAAGCTTCATGCTTCTGTAGCTTCGATTTCGCTTTGCTATTCCACCGTCAAATACCGGAAAATTTAGCCGGCGGTTTTCGCGCAGAAAATAAGAAATGATTTGGAGCGTGGAGGTCACAGTTAAATTGTGAATGCTGCAGAAATCATTCTTATATTCATTTTGGACAGAAATAAGAAAGAGTCGGGTTCCATGGCTACTGATTAAGAAAGAATAGGGTTTCATAAAATTAATAATTCCTACCCCTAATCCCTCTGGTAAACCTCTCGCCAAGTCTCGACCCAAACTAATCACCCTACTTACGTCAATTGCACCTCGTAAGTATAAAGTCAAAACTTTTGACTTTAAAGTCAATTATACTTACGAGGTGCAATGGATGTAAGTGGGTGATTAGTTTGGGTCAGGACTTGGCGGGGGTTTACCGGGGAGGTAGGAATCATCAATTTTATGAACGGAGCTCCGTAGGGGGCAGTGACTTCCGTGGCCACTGGACCCCCCGGTAAACCCCCCGCAAAGTCTCGACCCAAACTAATCACCCCACCTACGTAAATTGCAACTCGTAAATATAAAGTCAAAACTTTTTACTTTAAAGTCAATTATACTTACGAGTAGAATTTTAAAGGATTTAAGAGGAGTAATATATTTTAGGACGGATGAAAAAATAAAGGAGAAAGATTTTGTGGGATGGAAGGAGTTTAAGAATTAATAAAGGTAAAAGTAACTTTTTAATTGAAATATGAAAAGTTTTTAGGACAGATGAAAAAAGAAAGAAGAAAGATTTTGTGGGATGGAGGGAGTATTTGCCTCGCACTCGCCACGCTAGTCGAAGTGGCACATGGCATGCATTCCATGCAATGCGATCTAATTTTTGCTTCAAGTGTGCCAATTTTCTCTCCATGAATGGCAGGGCGTGGCAAGGCTTTTTGTCAATGCTCTTAGAATACGATTTGGAAAAAACTAGGAAGAGTTGAAAAATATTGAAAGAAATTAGAAAATATTGAAAGAATTAAAGTGCTAAAAATACTTAATTAAAAAACCACCGAATTAAATATTAAAGAAAATTCTAATTTTGGATAAAGAAGAATTCATCTTTGTGCGTGTTTAAGGTGATATGTTATAAATTTAGATATATAATGTTACTGTATGCTCATCATATATAAAGATCTTTTTAAACCTTTATTGAAAGAAACTAGAAGGAGTTGAAAGAAACTAAAAGAAATGAAAGTTAATTTTTTCAATGTAAAAGAACATGTCCGTAGGAGTTCTAAACCAATCCGATAATTGCCACATGTAACTTTCTAATTCTAAATAGGGTTATGCTACACTTACACCACAAATTGTACCCCATTTGTACACCGCAGTTATACACAAACATTTTGATGGTTTACACCAACATAAGTGTTGGTGCATTAACAAAAATTTACACGGACACAAAGTGTTGGTGCATTAATAAAAATTAGTTTTACACCAACACAAAGTGTTGGTACAAAGCTACGGGGTACAAAGTGGGGTACAAAACATAGGGTACAAATAGCTTTACCCTTCTAAATGTGATCTTTATTGCCCAAATAGAATTGGAAATGCCTGCAGCCCCGTGCCCCCACGGGGTCTTTGGACTCTTTAACATTCAACTTAGAGCACTGGTAATACCCCTCACGCCCACCGGCGTTACGGGGCGTTTAACGCCCCGGAGGCGTGAAACACCGCCCCCGCCGGCGTGAAACGGGCATGAGGGCGCCTGCGTCATTCGTTTGACGCGGCGTGACTCTTGCGCGGCTTCCTCCTAACGGCTAAAAAAGCCGTTGCAGCCCACATTAAAAAAAAAAATTCCCTATAAATTCAACCCCCCAACCAATCTCTCACACCTTCTCTTCAATCTCTTCCTCTTTCTTATTTTTAAATTTCAAAATTCAAACCCCCCTCCCAATTTTCAACATGAATCCTTCCGGCTCCGGCTTCTTTCCCGACGATCTCCCGCCCGTCGACGCCGCGATGTGGTATTACCAAGAGTTGGGCGATCGACCGCCGATGTACGAGACGCAACAGTCGGGGTACGTCGACCGAGATTCGGTTCCGGAGACTCAACCGGAACNAAAAGCACGTTGACCGAGGCGGCACGGTCAATCCAAAAGTGGACGCCGGAGGAGGAGTGCATATTGGCGTCGGCTTGGGTTGACGTCTCCGAGCATCCTATCATTGGTTAAAAATTTATTTTTTGTAATATATTTATGTTTTTATTTTTATATATTATATTTAATGGTGTCTAAAAAAATTGTGTAATACATTTTTAAAGGTACGGAGCAAACGAAGGATGCGATGTGGGATCGTATCGAGGAGAAGTTCTTCACAGCGATGAAGAAGGACGGCTCCTACCGAACCCGGGACCAACTCACTTCCAAATGGAGCCACATCAACAAAAAAGTCCGAAAGTTTATGGGAGTTTACGAGGGATGCTCCCGGTCCCGGAGGAGCGGCACGAACGACGCCGATGTTCTCCGGCTTGCCACGACCCGGTATCAAGACGACGGGAACCAAGGCAAGGCCCATCGATCTTTGGAGGATTTTGAGTCGTTCCCCGAAGTGGCAACAACTCAACAATCCCGACGGCGGATCGTTCCGGAAAAGATCCACCGTCGACGCCGAGGTTGAGGTCGACGAGACTATCGGTTCTAGCGATCAAATCCCTCCCTTCAACGTTGCGGATTCCAATGACGAGGACCCCATTCCAAGGCCGATCGGAAGAAAGAAGGCAAAATCCATTGCCTCGGGTTCGGGAGGGTCCGCCTCTGTTTCCGCTTCTCCCCGCGACGAAATCCGCCGGGCAATGATTGAACAACTTCGGGCGTTCAATCTCCAAGAACAAGAGAGGTTGAAGCTAAAGGAGAAGGAGTTGAAGCTAAAGGAGCAGGAGGCTGAGATGAAAGTCATGCAAACCGACCCCGGGACGTTGTCGGAGTTTGGACGAATGATCTATGAGCAAAGAATGAGAGAGATCAAGGAGAAATATAATTTACCTTAGTTTTTTATTAATGTATCGTTTTTTAAATTATTGACGCTTTTTTTATTTAATGAATGTATTTTTTTATTATTCGTGTTTCAATTTAATTAAATAATAAATTAATTACATTTTATTAATTTAATTTTAGAAGATGTGTATTTAAAAATGTAAAAAATGAAGGTTTGAAGCCCAGTTTTGAAGCCCCGGGGCTTCAAACCCATTTCCAGTGAATTTTGGGTGTAAGTTAAAGCTGACGTGGCAGAGAGAGAAAGTTTGAAGCCCCGGTTTGAAGCCCCGGGGCTTCATAACCATTACCAGTGCTCTTAGGGGGTGTATTACACGTTGATTTTGCAGTATTTTTTAGGATTTGAAAAGTCTATGGATAGTTAATTAAGATTTTAAAAAGTTCTTAAAAATCTAGATGTATTCAATTGAGATTTTAAAATATCCATCAAATATTAAAAAGTCTACAGATTTTCAAAATTTTTTGTTATAAGCAGATTTTGATGGATTTCAAGGTTCATCATATAAATAGAAATCCATTTACAAATCTCTCATATAACGTAGGGATTTCACCTCTCGAATCTATTACCTTCGTCCCTTACTTCGTATGCTAGAAGAGTACCAGTGTCAATTGCAAACACAACGGCACATGAACGAGAAAAGGTATACGTCAAATAGGATTGCAGGGCGGTGGAGGGGTTTAGAGATCGGATCTGCGGCCCTCTAGTGGTGCCCTCGATTTTGTTATTGATACTCCCTAACCCCTTTTTCACATTCTCTATATATTTTTTAAATTTTTTTCTTTTGTTTTTGCTTGATTTTCCTTTCAAGGTAATTTTTTTGCTTTTGTTCAATTTCTTTTTCATGGTAAATTTACACTCTGTATATTTTTTCAATTTTTGTTTTGCTTTTGGTTCAATTTAGATTTGACCTTTTTTTTGCTTTTTGTTCAATTTATTTCTAATAGTTCAATTTTGTTTTCACGGTAGATTTTTTGCTTTTGATCGATTTTTGGCTTTTTTATTTTTATTTTTGTTCAAGGTAAATTTTTTTGTTCCACATTATTATTATTATTTGGATTTTAAACAATCTAACACAATCTTTTAAAATCTTGCCAAAAAATACAATAAAATCTATCTAAGTCGACGTAGAATTAAAACAATCCATGCATTTTACATAATCCATAAATTTTAAATAATCTTATACAATCTTTTAAAATCTAGATTGAATACATCCTCCTTAATTATACGGAGTATTTAAAGCCCATCTGTAAAGAAAAGAACAAGACAGGTAGAGTTTTACGGAGTAATTTAATTTGTTTATACATTATTAGTATTACGGAGTAATTCTGTGAAATGCATCAATCGCCTTAATTAGAAAGACACCCAAATATGACTATTATTAAGCTTTGACTAATTCGTTCAATCCCTCTTTAATTATATATAACCACTCCATTATCTTGATCGCTTATTTTTTAATTAATATTTTTACTCCGTATTATTATACGCGGCTGACAGTATGGGAGCCCTCTACTATTTGTTTTCTTATAAAATAATTAACCTCACTTAATTAGCTTAACTATAGGCTGTACCAAAGGAATGCGCGCTGTTTTCATTTCATTAATTAAATTGGGAAAAAAGTCTTGATGAAATAATTGAGTAGATGGTGTTAGTTAGTACTCCCTCCGTCCTATAATGATCTTCCCAGAGCACTATTCCAACTTCACGAGAATTTATATTTATTTGTGTTTTTTCATGGCATATATAATAAAATAAAATATTCTTGTCACCACTTGTTTTGTTGAACTTTTGGTGTAGTTTTTAAATATGTATGTTTTATTTTTTATTTCTATACCAATATTTAAATAAAATAGATTGAAAAAACTTGAGATTTTTCTTTGTTTTGCGAACCGGGAAGATCAATATAGGACGGAAGGAGTAATTGAGTAGGCAATGGGCAGTGGGAGTTGGGGGTGGGATAGATTGAACTCATGTGAAAAAAACAAAAACATATATAGCCTATATTTAACAATTAGAAACTAGAAAAACAAATAAATAATAAAAATTTGTGCAAAAAAGATTCATCATTCAGGACTCGCAATATAGATCATACCGTCAGTTGTATTGTGTTTTTCGCACATCCGCATCAAGTTACTCATTAGCGAATAACTAAATACTCATTGTCGATGATGTGAATACTCATTCTCAAGTAATTAGTACTCAATCATTTTTTTTAAAAATTTAGTTATGTTCAAAAATGAGTATTCAGTTATTCAAAAATGAATATTCTGCTACCAAAAAATGAGTATACTGTTACTTGAAATTGTGTATTTAGTTACTTGAAAATGAGTAATTATTAGAATGTACAAGAAAGACCGTACATCTGGATATATGATATAGGTATTCTTCAGGATCTGTCCTGAGAGTTCAAGAGTCGAGGACGAGAAGAAATAAATAAGCCCTTAATTTAATAATTAAATTATAGAAACCAATTTTTTTAAACGACAATTAACATTATACCAATAAACACAACAAAATTGTTGTATCAAAATTAATATCGTTATAAGAATCATAAAAAATTACGATTTTATATATTATTATTATTTAAAATATTTAAAAAATTAAAATTTTGGACCCAGAAAAAAGGGTCCGGGTTAGTAGGATTGCTTGGCACCCCTTGGGCCGGTTCTAGTTCACATAAAACAAGTGAGCCGGCCTTATAGGCTTATATTTACAAAAAAAAAAGGTTTATAATACGTAGTAGAATCTTCTCTAGACTAAAATCTCACTTCCTCAAATTAATACTAATTGAAATTAGAAACATTCACCTAAATATCTGTAGTCGAACTATTCAGCAGGCTAAATAATACTCCATCTTTTTAATAAAAATAAAGAAAAACTAATGTACAATAGATTTCATGTAAGAGACCTTCTGAGTAATAGACCCAAAAAAAATTTATTGACCCTAATAATGAAAAAATGTTATACAATCAATTTTTATTTTTTTGAGCTATTTATATTGCTTTGACTCTAAAAATTGTCTATCTACCAAAAAATTACTCTAATTCAAAATAGTGTAGTATGCAAAAAAAATATCCGAATCTCTCCCTAAAAAAATTTACTGTCTCCCTTAATTAACAAATTTCACTTTTTATTTTAAAAATTTGAAAATTTGGTAGATCCTTTATGGACCTTCTCACATTAAAAAACTTTTTTTTATTTTTTTATTTAAAAAAATGAATGCTTATTTAGGTTGTCAAGAAATACTTATTATATATATATATATATATATATATATATATATATATATATATATATATATATATATAAGTCCACTATAGAATTTGCATGTAATTATATCTCAACTAACTAACTATAATCACCTTTTTTATATGCTCTTGCACAAAAATTGAAGATGAATTTCTTTTAGGGACAAGCATTTTATCCACCCCTTAAAACCTTATGAAATAAAAGTCAACCACTATCTACTAATTACTTAATTAGGATTTGTGACTTAATGCTAGCCTTTTCCTTCAGAAGTAGTTTGATTTCTATAGTGATAGGTTATGGACATTTTACACATGTCCAACTAAGATACCAAATAAGGAAAAAAAATGTTGAAGATGCGTTTTTTACTTGTACAAGAGATGCATGAATTTTAGGAACATAAATTATCAAAAGCCTATATAATTGTTTTTTTGAGTTAAATTTGTTATTAGTTCCATGATGTTGGCAAATGTTTAGACAAAATAGAATCTCATATTTGGTAGGAGTGTTACTAGGTAGAAACCTCTATTTGTTAAGAGAAGCTTATTTTATTTAATTCCTAGAGTTGCTGAAGTTTTCGAGGTTGACAAAGAAGGTGCTACAACACAATGCTGCAACACACTGTACGAGATTTTAAGCTGCAATCTGCAATTTTCAGAATTAGAGACCTATTAGGATTGTGACTACATGATAATAAATATAATCCAGCTGGTGTTTGGAAGGTTTAGGCTACTTGTGGATCAAGATTAAGGAAGTTGTATTTGAGACAACTTCTACTAACTTATTCCTACTAGAATTATGTTAAGAAAAGCCTATAAAAACGCAACAGATCACTGGAATTCCTTAGAGCGATTGAGAGGAAAAAACATAAAATATACGTTGATGTCGAGCGTTTCCGTATCGTCTTAAAGCTTCCCTTGCGTGAAGAAGCTTACGATCTACATATAGGAAGATATATTCAATGCCAAAACAGATCGTGACATCCAAGAGTTGAACCGAAGCTGAACGAGTGGGCTGCAAACACGTTTGTCCTCGTGATCTCGGTGGAGATGTGATAGCCAAAGCGGATCTGTACATGGTACGGGTTAGAAATCCTAAATTAGGAGTTTTGTCATAACAATCTGGATAAGTGTGTCTCATCATGTTGTTATGTACCAGTGTAACATGCATCTAGTGATTTAGTGGAGGGCTATTACACGAACGTGTATCCCGCATATGTTGGAGAGTTCTCCGAACTACGTAAACATATTTAGTGTCATTTTATAATTACATCATTTTGTCCAGTAGCCGCTGTAACACCATCTGCACCATCTGCTTCTGTGTGTGCTTGTGCTGGAGAAGGTGTTATATCACGCTCTCTGATCATTTGTTACTGCGACAGTATTACGGTATCTCTTCTGCAGCATAGTTGATTGATTTGTTTGCATAATCAATTGCATTATTAATTAGTTATTGTAAAATTTCTGTGACTCGAACTAAACTCGTCACCTTAATTAAATTGATGTCCAAAATTAATATTTGTCTCTATAGGCTCTAATATAATGGCTTTGTTTAGATTATTAGGATAGAAAGTGAAAAGAAAGAATACGGAGTAGTTTATAATTAAAGAGTAAAAGAGCATGGAGTAAGAAAGAATGTGCTCTAAAAGTCAAAGTATAAAATAATTGAAAGAAAATATAGAGAAAAAAATCATGATTAAATTGTTTTTTGACATAGTGTCACATTCTTGTTTACTAAAAACTCACAAGTTTAAAACTCATTGTCATTCAAATTAAAAATAATTAAACTTTCACGTGTAAAATTCGAAGTGGTCACGTTTGCATTTGAGGGCGTGTTAGAATATAAAAATCTTTCCTAGATTAACAAACACAAGTTTGAGTTTTTAGTTAAGTTAATTAGTTTCTTGACAGAGAATAAAATATTTTTAACACATTTTTTGTATAAACTTTTGATGTAATTTTGAAATATGTAATTTATACTTTTTATTTCAATGTTGATTTGTAAGTAAAATAATTTAAAAAAAGATAAGCTTTTACAGGTTCACTACAAGAATTTATCTCATCTGCAACGGAGATCTGCTACGGACACATATCCGTAGCAGATCCGCCACGGATCTGCGACAGAGTAAAAATTTCTGAATAAGGAACACTATCTGTGACGGAATGTATATTTCCGTCGCACAGCTGCGACGGTTCCAAGCTTTCCGTCGCAGATCTGCCAGGGATTTTCCATTCCGTCGCAGATTTTAAATTTGCCACAACTTTTCTGCGACGGAAAATGTTCGTGTCCGTCGTAGAATTTAAATCTGCCACGGAATTTCAAATTCTGCAACGGAAACTGCCCGTGGCAGATAGGCAGTTTTCTTGTAGTGCGTTATTCGAAATAAAAAGATAATAAGAGTATTTATCAAATTTATTACGTTTAAAGGCTCGCCTCAACTGTAGAGGCGAAATAAAAGATAATAAGAGTATTTATCAAGATAATAAAATAATTATATATATAATTATTTTATATATATCACAGTCCACATGAGTATGATGATAAGGACCACAAAAGAATTTACTAAATTGAGGTGAGCCTTTAAACGTAATAAATTTGATAAATACTCTTATTATCTTTTATTTCGAATAACATGTAAAACCTTATCTTTTTTAAATTATTTTACTTATAAATCAACATTGAGGCCCCATTTGGTACAAGGAATTCAAATCATGGAATTGGAATTGAGGACTATAATTCCAATTCTGGTGTTTGGTAACACAAATATTATGTGGATTTGGAATTGATAGTGCAAAAAATGAATTGAAGTTGGTGAATTCAATTCCATGGAATTGAATCTCATGGAATCCCAATTCCAATTCAATTCCAATTCCACCAATTGGGTATACCAAACGGACCCTGAAATAAAAAGTATAACTTTCAACATTGAGTTTATAAAAAAAGATATGTGAGAAAATCCATATTTTCCATGCAGGCCCTAGGAGCGCAATAGCACAACTTCTCAATTTTCCTCATTCTTTGCTCGTCTCCATAGCAAGACTTTTCTCAATAACAGAGCAAGGCCGGCCCCAAGGATTCAGTGGTCCTGGATAAGAGGGGGAAAATGGTGTGTGTCCTAACAATTTAAATTATACTCCCTGCATCTTGAATTGATACTCAGAGTTTGACTTTACACAGATCATATATATATATATATATATATATATATATATATATATAATTGACTCAAGTCAGATGACACATTATGGTAAAATGATCAAATGACGTAAAACTCACCACTGCAAACTATAAAGCTCACCATTTGTCAATGTGTTATGGATAGTAGAGTAGGATATTTAATAGTATTATTATTATTATTATTATTATTATTATTATTGTAATGTAGATTTTATTAGGTGGGCAAAATTATAAGCTCGTTCGAGGTTTCTTTACGGTTCTTTTCCTCATCGCTATTTATTGAACCGCTAGGTTAGCGTTAGGGTTATCTTCTCCCCTAAATAAAGAGATGTAACCCCATTTAGAGTTAATCAATCAATAAACAAATCAAAACCCTAATCCCTTCTCCTCTCTCGGTTCGTCGATTCTTTTCGTCTCAATTCTTTTTCTTCTTCCTCGTCTCATATTCTCAAAAGCTTGAAGACGCTCTGAGTCTTCCCTATCCGATACGAGTTCGTATCACAATGCAAAACTCACCAAAAAGTAAAGCAAAAGTTACCACTTTGAGCACCAAAAAGTCACCTTTTTAAAAACTTTAAAAATAAAAAATTAAATTAAAAATAAAATAGCAACACATGTCAACAACCAGTCAGCGACGACATGTGGCGGTGACGACCGACGGTGGACCACGGGATGCGGCGGTCAACAGAGCCAGTGAGCGATGAAGGTCCTGTTGGGAATAAACGCACGCGGAAACAACACTCAATCACGAATCAACTGCAGAAAAATAAATGACACATGATTTAACGTGGTTCGGCCGATACCACTTGTTGGGAATAAACGCACGCGGAAACAACACACAATCACGAATCAACTGCAGAAAAATAAACGACACAGGATTTAACGTGGTTCGGCCGCCAACTGCAACCTACGTCCACACGGGGCAACTAGGAGGATTTTATTATTTGTTGTTGCACACACGCACTGCCAGATCCTGGAACATCCTGAGAACAAACAATCTCCATACTGAGCAAGAAATTTTCTGGAGATGTTTCAACAGCTGGAATACTGGTTCTCCGGACCCAATGTCTTATAAGAACCTTGGCTGAAGCAAAACCTGTGCTCCCACTGCCACAGATACCTCTGACTGGCCTCATTGAACCTTTTCTCGCTCGTTCATCCTGAGTCTGACCTGTGGCTTTGGGTTTCTTTCTTGCATAGAAAACCTTCTTCTGCCCACGAGACTCTGTGAACTGGACTTTGTTTCTCTTCTGAACTGGGACGATCACTCCCTCAGACGGTAACCCGACCATGTACAACGACCCACTCTTCCTTCCGCGGGCCATGACAAGATTTCCCTTCACGACCTTCCACTGCCCAGTTCCGAACTTCACCTCGTGTCCCTGTTCGTCCAACTACCTAACAGAAATCAAACTTTTCTTCAAGGCTGGAACCACTCTGACATCCTTCAAAGTCCAGAAACCGACAGGGGTCTTCAGCACTATGTCACCCATGCCCGTCACATCAAGAGCTCCGTCGTCTGCTAGTTGTACCTTTCCAAAGTCCCCAACAACTAGATTCTGCAATGCTTCACCGCTGTGGGTAGCATGAAATGAAGCACCAGAATCCATGACCCAGGAATCTACACTGCTCTCCGCACAACAGATAAACAAATCCTCGTCGCTCGCGGAGCCTCTAGCAATGTTCACTTGCTTATCCTCTTTCGGGCACTGATTCCTGAAATGCCCCACCTCCTTGCACTTCCAGCATGTTACACCTGAGCTATCCCGAGTATTTGATCGACTCCTTCGTCTGTTCTTGCTCCCACTACCTCTGTTATTTCCTTTGCCTCTGACGATATTTAGTGATTCTTCCGAAGACTCACCAGAACTCCTTCTTCTGACATCTTCGCCAAGAACGAGGTCACGAATCTTCTCAAAAGTGAATCCGTCAGGTCCCGCTGAACTGGTAACTGCTGTAACAGTTCCGGACCAAGTGTCAGGCAATGACGATAACAGTAGTAAAGCTTGAACTTCATCATCGAACTTAATGCCCACTGACAAAAGTCTGGCTAAGATAGAATTGAACTTGTTGATATGCTCGGTAACTGAAGTGCCATTTTTCATCCTTGTGTTCACCAATTCTCTAATCAGAAACACTTTGTTTGCCGCAGATGGCTTCTCGTACATATTAGACAGCGCTTCCATGATGCCTTTCGCTGTCTTCTCCTTCAGAATGTTGAACGCAACATTCTTGGTCAACGAGAGACGGAACACGGACATAGCTTTCCGATCCAAACCTGCCCAATCTGCATCCGACATCTTTTCTGGCTTGTCACCCAATACCACGTCCAAATATTTCTGAACCAGCAAATCTTCAATTTGCATCTTCCACCAACTGAAATCTGTACCATCGAACTTCTCAATTCGAAACTTCCCGTCTTCTGCCATATCACACAACTAGACGAGATACCCGGTACAACTAATTTCAGATCTTGGTAATTTCGTCAGAAAATCAGACCCACCACACCAACCAAAACAAAACAACCCAAAATCCAAAATGAACCCACGGCCAACACCTCTCTTTGACGCTCAACCCAATTCAATTAAATGAAAAAAAAGGCTGAAAGAAAAAAAAACCTTTGTCCGGCCCACTGTTCTTCTTTCTTCGCACCTTTTTTTTGTTCTGGCGGCTGTGCAATCTCAAAACGGGAATGGCTTCAGCGGTGGTGCTTCCAGGAGACGACGGCGACAGCGGCTGGTCGACTGAGCTTTCTGCCTGCGGCAGCTCCTGTGTCCTCCGGCAACAATAACGCTCTGCGCGAGGTCAGACGGCTATGGCGGCAGCTCCTCAACTCAGCGGCGGCGGTGGCTCCCCAACGCGGCTTGACTGCACGCGGACGGTGGTAATTCTCCTCGAACTAGCGGCGTAGATCTGAGGACAGTGGCAGCTCCTCAACCCGGCGGCAGTCTTGCTCGACAGAGTCACTTCTCCTTGAGCGATGGCGACGGCCATTTGTGTGACGACTCCTCTGCGGGGGTGCTTGGACGGATCAGCGGCTGCTCCTGTGCGGGTGACGGCGGCAGCGGCTCCTTCGCTTGCTGCGGTCCCCCTGGAACCAGCGACGGCGACACGATTCGGATGGCGGCGGTCTGGATCTGCCCAATTGAAGGCGGCAGCGGTGAGTCTCAAGGGACTCACTTCCTGCTGCGGCAGTGCTTCGTGGGGATCGTCGGGGATGGTGGTGCTCCGGCGGTAGCGGCCCTCACTCCGGCTCCTGCTGCTGCACACAGTTCTTCTCCAAAGAACCCAGGTGACACTCCTCTGATTAGTTTCTGCTGATCGGATTTTCGGTGTCTTAACGAACCAACGCTCTGATACCACTTGTTGGGAATAAACGCACGCGGAAACAACACACAATCACGAATCAACTGCAGAAAAATAAACGACACAGGATTTAACGTGGTTCGGCCGCCAACTGCAACCTACGTCGACACGGGGCAACTAGGAGGATTTTATTATTTGTTGTTGCACCACAATTACAAGCACATTAGCATCTCTTAAATAGAGATTAGTTAGGGAGACAATGATTAAGCCGTAAGCTTCTAGGTAGCTTCCTGCCAATTTCCTGTTAGCTTCCACCTAGCTTCCTGGCTTCACACTCAACAGGTCCCCTCAACATGGGTTAAAGTCCATTCCTTTGATTTTTGTTTTTTGAAAAAAAATAAAGTATTAAAAAAATAGATGAGCTTTGTCATATGTCATATAGCTTGGTGAGCTCTCCAGTGGTTGTGAGTTAACTTTGTAGTTGGCAGTGGTGAGCTTCAAATTATTTGATCATCTTGTCATAAGGTGTCATCTGACTGATGCTCACTCTTTAGGATTCTCTTTGTACGTCATTTTATAAATTTTATTAACCACAGAGTATTTTTTGAATACTAATAACGTAACTCTATTATAATATTGTACTCTCTCTATCCATAAATGATTTACACACTTTATTATTCAAAAAATGCAAGAATTTTTATTTATTTGTGTGTTTATATTGACGATTTGATGAAATAAAATATTCTTGTCATCACCTATTATTTTGTAGAACTTTTGGTATATTTTTAAATATGTAAGTTTTGTTTTTTATTTATATACACCAATCATTAAATAAAATGAATTGAAAAAAACTTAAAATTTTACTTTATTTTGCGTAAAGAAAAAATTATTTAGGAACCGAGGAAGTATATGTTTATATTCTCAACAAATTAAATGTATCCGGGTCAAATTTGTGACCTCCCATATGAGAGAGTCACTATTATGGGCTGGACCACAGAGTCTTTAGTAAAAACTACAAAAGTATTCTTATTCTTTAATCAATTTTAAGAATAATAAAAGAGGAATTTACTTAAATAGCACTAAAACATAACGATTTCCTCTAAATAGCACCACATGTGTTTTTTCATAATGTAGCACTTTTAGTCATTATCCATTAGTCATTATTCAAGCAAATATTTACCATCACTGGACATTATTAAGTGTTATTTATGGAATAAAACAGTTTAAGTGCTATTTAGAGAAATGACTTAAGTTTTAGTGCTAATTAGCGTAAATATTTCATAATAAAAACCTACTATGTATATGTATCAAGCAATAACCCTATCATACATTAGTGCATGGCACATTGTCGTCAAGTTAGGTGCACGTTTTAATAAGAAATTATTGTACGTACGAGAAAATAAAAGAAATTGTTTTCAAGAAATCATAACTCAAACATTACAAAAAGTACATAAATAAGGCAATACAAAAAGGAGCATACTAAAGGAGTAAATGCAAGGAGACCCATCTACCTCGCATCTCTAGTGTTAAAGTTTGGATTTACTCGTTGGGAGTCCATTCATTAAATCAGTATCATAATTTAAACTTTTGGTTACAAAGTGAATCTGAATTTTATATGAAAAATAGTCAAATACACTTTGCTCACTTCAGTCGCCATACTAAAAATCCGACATTAATGTGTAATAGTTACTCCGTATATTAATACTTCACAACATTATATTTAATTTAAAAATTACATTAAATTAAAAACAAAAAGATATTTCAAAATTATGTTTAATTTCGAGATAAATCAAATTATTTTAAATTGATATAATAATTTAATATATATTTTTTGAGAGGGATGAAGTTTTAAACTTTAGTATTCAATTCCCTCCGTCCCTCAAAATTTATTTGATTTTGATTTTTAAAGGACTTAACGACACTGTACTTTGATCTTGATTTTTTAAAAATGCCCTTGGAACTGATTGGTAAAAATAAGATGTGATGTGTAGATTAATAGTGAAAAAATATTATGTGATAGATAAGTTAAAAATTAATATGAATAAAAGTGACTTTTTAATAGAAATTAGAAAAACATTTTGGGACGGATCAAAAAATAAAGTAGAATAGTTTTATGAGAGGGAGGGACTACATAACTTTAATTTGCATCTCTCAAAATTGATCATTGTGATTTGTTTGTACATTTGGTTGTTGTGCAAGATCGACCACTAATTAATAGTTGCTTCATCTCATAAAAATTTTCTTTTTATTTCGTCTGTTCAAAACACATTTATTTTCTTTTTATTTTCGTCTGTTCAAAACACATTTATTTCATCTCATAAAGAAATTTGGGACTAAGAAAATACATTTATTTTCTTAACATCCAAATCTAACCACATCCTTTTATCTTTCAACTTTTTTAAAAAACATTAAATAAGTTAAAATGATAAAGTTATAGGGACCAATAGAGTACAAAACTTGGATTTAGAGCACTAGAAATACGCCCAACGCCCGGGGCGTCATCAACTGTCTAGCATTATGAGAGCATTAAACACGCCCCCCATGCATCGCTATTGGGGCGTCAATTTCATTGTGTTAAACGTTTAATGCGAAGAAATAATGATAAGAAAGAAGTCGTTGCCCCCGCCCCCAATGGTCCAAAATCAAGCCGTTGGGCATTTAAAAAAATTGTTAAATTTTCAACTATAAATACTCTCTCAAAAAATACAAACATAAACTCAGGACCCATTTAAAAATAACATTTTCGATTAACATTAACATTTTGGATAAAACGTTAATGGTACATATTAACTTTGAAAATGTAACGTTAACGTTACATATTTAAATTATATGCAACTTTTATTTAAATTTTTCTAGTTGTTCAAGTAATATAATTTTTATTTATGTTGTTATAAATGAAATCTTTTTTTATTAAATTTATAGTACTTTTATTTATTGAATATAATCTTTTTTATTTAATGAGTTATTACCTTTTACATTTAATTAATTAATGAAATCTTATTAATTTATTTTTACAAAATGTGTATTATAAAATAATAAAAAAGGATTTGAAGCCTCGATCTTCAAATTCATTTTAAATGAAACTGTGAGGTAAGTTAAAATGAGGTTTGAAGCCTTCCACTTCAATTATCTTTCCACTGCTCTTAGTAAGTAAGTGAATGACATATATGACTCGTACGTAGTGCAGAGTATAATTTTATGCTCCATGGCATATATATTCTGGTTGAAAAAATACGGAGTAATTATAAATAAAAAATAATAGTATGAGGTTAAAATTTAAAGGAGGGATAATTTGGAAAACACAATAAATTAAAGGAACGTTATAACAAGTACTCTCTCCGTACCAAATAAAACTGTTTCTTTCCATCTACGATGTTTGATTCAATTAATTTTAAAATAAATTTATTTGAGAATTACTGTAGAATTAATATTTAAAATTTACCTATTTAAAAACAACATAAAAATTTCTACGTTAAAATAACTAGGGAGTACGGTATATTATTTCATCAAATTAATTAAAAAATTAAATAAAATTTAATTCTATAAATAATAAACAAGCAATTTATTTCGGAAGAGAGTAAATAAAAACAAAAAGATGGGAATGTAGTTAATTGTGTTCAAACAAAAATAGGAAAAAGAAAAACCTCCAGCTAATAGGGCGTTGTAGTATGTGACATGAAACATAAAAACTTGTACTTTTTGCTTTTTGATCCATAGGAGAAAGTTCAAGAAAAACATTCAAAATTTAAGAATATATTGTTGAAATATATATTGCCGGTAAAAAATAAATACTACTTTCATCTTTCAGTTTTTGTGCAATTTTGATTTTTTTTGCAATCAATCATTTTCGATCTTTCACATTGAATTAAATAGAAATTATATGAAATATTAATTTGATAACATAATATTTTGAAAATATTGTATAAGATAAATCTTATAAAATTAATTTGGATTGATATCTAACACCAATTTTATTTAACCAATGGTTAGAACTTGTTAATTTTAATTGAAAAAATAAAAACTGGTTAATAATTTAGAGACTTTATTTTGTAATTTGTATTTTGAGAGAGAGAGAACATATGTAATATTCCATCTACCTTTCATTAATTGTTTGAATCAATGCTCACACACACTCTATCTCTCATCTCTTCCCTCCATCTTTCCCTCTTTAAATCATCTCATTCTCCTCCCCATCTTCTTCCCATTTTTATTCCTCTGTAAATTACACCCCTAAAGGATCAGAAAAAATGGCAGGGAAATCATCGCCGGCGAAGTTGAAATATTTGGCGAACAATTCTTTAACGTTGTTGTTAGTGTGTGTCTTGTTGGGCGTGGGGCTGGAGGTTTTAATGTCAGCTCCGGGAGAGGAATTCCAGAGATCTTGGAAGTCCATAACAGAGGCGGTTGACCCATTCAGGATTCTGTGCTCTGTTCTGGTCGTCGTCTTCCTCGGAGCTCTCTGTTTCATGTCCAAACCTCGTTCCGTTTACCTCGTCGATTACGCGTGTTATAAGCCGCCGGTCGCGTACCGGGTCCCCTTCTCGACGTTCATGGAGCATTCTAGACTCATCTTGAAGGACAGCCCGAAGAGCGTGGAGTTCCAAATGCGGATCTTGGAGCGCTCCGGCGTCGGGGAGGAGACTTCCTTCCCGCCGGCGCTTCACTGCATTCCTCCGACGCCCACCCTGGAGGCTTCCAGGGAGGAGGCGGAGGCGGTCATATTCTCCGCCGTGGATTCTCTGATGAGGAAGACTGGGATTACCCCGAAAGAAGTGGATATTTTGATCGTCAACTGTAGCTTGTTCTCCCCGACGCCGTCTCTGTCCGCCATGGTGGTCAACAGGTATAAGATGAGGAGTAATGTGAAAAGCTTCAATCTTTCCGGCATGGGCTGCAGCGCCGGCCTGATTTCCGTCGATCTCGCCCGGGATCTGCTCCAATTGTACCCGAATTCGAACGCTCTGGTGGTCAGCACGGAGATCATCACGCCCAATTATTACAGGGGATCGGAGAGAGCGATGCTCCTCCCGAATTGCCTCTTCAGAATGGGCGGCGCCGCCATCCTGCTGTCCAACAAGCGCCGCGACTCGCGGCGGGCGAAGTACCGGCTGATGCATCTGGTGAGGACCCACAAGGGCGGCGACGACAAGGCGTACAGATGCGTGTACGAGCAGGAGGACGGGCAGGGGATGGTCGGGATCAGCCTGTCGAAAGAGCTGATGGTGATCGCCGGCGAGGCGCTGAAGTCGAACATCACGACGATCGGGCCGCTGGTGCTGCCGGCGTCGGAGCAGCTGATGTTCCTGTTCACCCTGATCGGGAGGAAGATCTTCAGCCCGAAGTGGAAGCCGTACATCCCGGACTTCAAGAAGGCGTTCGAGCACTTCTGCATCCACGCCGGGGGGAGGGCGGTGATCGACGAGCTGCAAAAGAACCTGCGGCTGTCGGCGGAGCACGTGGAGGCGTCGAGGATGACGTTGCACCGGTTCGGGAACACGTCATCGTCCTCCCTCTGGTACGAGCTGAGTTACATCGAAGGGAAGGGGAGGATGAAGAAGGGGGACAGGGTTTGGCAGATCGCGTTCGGGAGCGGGTTTAAGTGTAACAGTGCGGTTTGGAAGTGCAACCGGACAATCCAGACGCCGGCGCCGGCGCCGGCCGCCGATGATGGGCCGTGGGCAGATTGCATTCATCGGTACCCGGTGGACATCCCTGAAGTTGTTAAGCTCTGACTTTGGTGATAGAGATCGTCATTAATTACCGATTAATACACCTCTATGATTATTGATCAGTGATTTATTAATTATCATTATCACTAATTAATTTCTTCTCATTATCTCTCATATCCTTAGACAGTTAGACTTGGACATGTTCAATAAAGGTATACCATTCCTTAATGGTGGTGGGTAAACACCCAAACTATGATTATCACTTATGAGAAATTTACCTAAATAGGACTAAAATATAATGACTTTCCTAATATAGGACCATATTTTTTTATTTTCCAATGTAGGACTTTTGGTCATTATCAACTAGTCATTATTCAAGTAAATGTCTAGCATTACTGGACATTATTCCTCCCACTAGGTCATTATTAAGTCCTATTTAGGGAATAAAAAAGTTTAAGTCCTAGATTAGGAAAGTCATTATGTTTTAGTACTATTTAGTGCAAATTTCACTTATCATAAATGGTATCAAATTGTTTGTCTTGTTTTTTTTAAATATGTCATTTGTTTAATTTTAATTCGAATTAGTAGTATGGATAGGATAAGCTTACAAAAACTTAAAAATCTTTATCACAAACTAAAACGTTTAATGTTAATTATGAAGCCTTGGCCATGAAGTATCTCGTGTATTTACTGGCGTACTTTATGTTACTATATGCGGTAGTATTCTGTATTATTTTTTCAATTTTTTAATATTTTGTATTCTTTATTGTTGTTGTTGTTGTTATACATTCATTAGTAGTCCATTATTTTTAAAATGTGGACCTGCTATCTTTTATATTTTGTATTTATGATCTTCTAAATTTTTGCTCTTTATGCCGAGTATAAAGTATAGAAATTGAAGGAGAAGGTTTAAAAATCTGAGCAAAATTTGACTTGAGAATTATCCGAATATTTTGAAGTACCTACGGTGCTCCATTGTACTGTATAGTTTTAAAATAAAATGATCTCTTATAGTCTAAAATTAAATGGACGAGAATAATGAGCTAAATGTTTAAACTAACTACCAAGCTAAAACATACATGTTACCAAAAAAAAATTGTCGTGAAATACTCTGTATGTCTATAGAGAGAATGCAGAGAGTACACGACTATTCGCATATCAAAATGTGAATATGATCCCCTTTCAGTACAACCTACATACAAATTTATACTCTGTAGTTGGGATTATAAGCTACTAATCACTCACAAAACTATAGATGATGATCAATTGCCCGAGCTCTAAGCTATAACTTGGATTCTACTAAATACGTTGGGTACTCACTTCGTGGCACGCTATTTGTGTATGTTCTTACCCAGGCTTGTAAACAAATAGACAAGCACCCAGGCGCTAATTCATAGCTCGGGACATGTTAATATGTTGGAATGTAGATCGAATAGTTTATCATCAAGTTAATAAGCTATAACGGATGTGTCAATATGTTGGAATGTAGAATAGATGGGTCATTAACCGGGAAATAAGTTATAAGGTTGTTCATGAGTCCAAGACTAGGCCGAACTGCCTGGACCAAAGACCGAATCTAAATTTATTTTGGGCTTAGACCAAACTATACCGAAAAACTTAGGATTGAATTGATCCAAACTAATTGGACCGAATAAAAATATATTTTGTACTCCCTCCGTTCCCCTAAGATGTTCTTATTTTGACTTTTGATGGTTTTTAAGGAGAGTTGAAAAAAGGTGAAAGTTTACCATAATACCCTTAATGAAATATGGGTGGAGTGTATTAAATGAGGTGGGTGAAGTGTAATAAATAAAGTAAGTGGGGGTAGTTGTGGTATTTTAATTGTTAAAAAATGAAATGAGAAGATCTATTGTGGACAAAGAAAAATGACTATTGAGAAGATCTATGAAGGAAAGAGGGAGTAATTATTTTGATCTATTAAAAAAGATACAAAACATTGATTACTTCCATGTATAATCATAAGAACTAATGTCAAACAATTTCTTTGAATTGTTGGAAAAAATTAATTAATACAAAAATCTAGTTGATTAAATAAATGAAGATATCTATCAAAATAGAGCATCAACGTGTAATAACAAACACAAAAAGTACGAGTAGAAGTTTAGTATTTAGATCTTTTGAATCCAATAAATTTATTAGGTTCAACCATTCCAATCGGTTCGGGCCCGAATTATTTCAACGCTGGACCAGACCAGACCAAAATCCAAAAGCCTAAATTTTCGGACCAAAGACTGGCCCGAAATCCATTCGGTCCAAATTCAATCTAGTCCTAACGGTCCGGTTCATTTAGTTTTTTTGTCCGAACCTAAACTTGCATAGCCCAAATAAGGTATAGCTCGGACTATGTCTATGTTGGAATGTAGATCAGATGGCTCACAAAATCTTGTGTGGGGTTCCATTGATATCGACCAACGCTGCCACTAAGTTTTTGAAGTACCTCAGGTGCTCTCGTTGTAAAATTGATGATTCCAACTCTTTTTAACTCATCCCCAACCCCCCTTTCCTCCCCACTCCAAATATGTGGCTACTATTATCCATTGACTATATGCAATGCATAATAGCCACACATTTGGAAGGAGCTTGGGCAAGGGGGGGGGNGGGTAAGAGGGGTGGAGTGGGACTGCAATGGGAGCTCCAAAGGTACTCCAAAAAGGCAATGGCATCACTAGTGACATCGTTGGCCAGTGTCAACGAAACCGTGCCCTTATTTTTATTATATTCTGAATATTTGTTTAGTTTTTTATTAATTTGCTTATATGAAGAGGTTTATACAGTGTTATATACACTTCTAACCAATGATAAACATACTAAAAAATGAGCATGAGTCACACAAATATTACAAAATACAATTTGAGAAAAAAATAAAGATAAATACAGATATTAAACAAAAGGTACAAAAAGTGAAACAAATGGAATATAAATTATTTTAATAAAGAATGTGAATCTCAAAAAATATACTCCATATACTTCAACGTTATTCAATTTCTTTAACTATTTCCACCCTCATTCAGTTTATTCTAACTTTTTTCAGTTTCTTTCAACATTCGTTCTCTATCTATGCAATTCAAAAGAACACCAGAGTGTGTATGTTAATTGAAACTTTATTATAGGTCTGTACCATTTAAAGCTGCATACTTACCTGACATGACTGGGCTCGAATGAAAAAGCACGTGGAATAAAAAAAAACAGGGGCATAACTCAACAAGTGTGAGCCAAACATGTTAATGTTCATTTGTTAATCCTTAAGAATCCAAATGGAGGGGATGTGATATTATGACACTAGGGTTGGGTGACAAAGGAACCCCATGCTGAAAAATGCTTAGAAAGAGCAAAAGAATGTTACCAAGCAGAGAACAAGAAACCATTCCCCAACAAATCTTCTCTTCTTATACAAATAATAACAATAATAAGCTGGAACCTGAGTAAATTATGAAGAAAATAGTACACATTAAAAGAAAAACTACATAGATCATCATTGAACATGTTTGACAGGGCTGTTGGTAAAGGCACACACAGCCTCCCATTCACAACATATACCCTCCTATATCTCCATCTAACAGAGCAATCAAAAGCACAGTCAAAGCATAACTTGCTATCGGAGGTCAAAACCGGAAGAACCTTGAGGCAGGTTGTTGGGGTATGCCACAACTTGTTGGGGATGGTTGCTTTGGTAAGGAGCAGCTTCATATGGGTTCACATTTTGATGATAGTGCATTTGTGAAGGACTGTATCGGGCGTGGGCGGTCCCTTGCTGGACATTGTTATAGGTCTGGTAAGGGACAGCTTGGGGGGCATGGCTGGGTTGAGCAGAAGAAGAAACAAATCCTTGATAACTATCCCGTGGGGCCGGTGCGGGGCTCCAATGATGTTCCATGGGTCTGTGCATTTCAGCACCATGTTCATGCCCACCAAGCCAAGGTTCACTGTGTGTCATCCTTGGGGCCGCAAGCTGGAATAAGGAACAAAATCTTATGCATCTCCACATCAAAAAGGGCTTGTCTGGTTTTCTCTTTTCCCCATGGGGCGGGGCTATTTATTTTACTTGTACTAAATCAACTGTACATGTTAGTATTAGCCACTCTTGGATCAAATAGTCTTGGAAACAGCCTCTACTCTCGAGAGTAGGGGTAAAAAGGGTAAGGTCTACACACACACACACCCCGGACCCTACTTTTAGTGGGTTCTTGTTTCATTAATTCTAAAGCATCTTTTCCCAGATCCGGCCCAAATTCGTGTTTGTGCAAGTCTAATTACATATAGTTGTACCTTCCTTAAATCTAAAGCTTCTATTTTGGTGAAATAAGACTCCTTTTTTGTGATGGAGGTAGCATATCAGCATATGTATTTGGCTAAATAATGTATTTATATATATTTCATCTTCACTCCCTTCATAATCATCAAATATAATAAAACAAATCTAATAAAATAAGCATCACCCTTCCCGTGCCAACGAAAAAGATCCTCCAACAAAACAATAAGAACCAAAAGATGAACTTTATTGCTTACTGGACCTTTCTGCCATGGCCTAAACTGCAAATTTATTAATACATCAGACAAATAAAATAAAAATTTACCTCGCTAGTGTTACCACGTCCTGTACCAATTGCAGAGCTCATGGTACTGGTTGGGATCTTCAGTTCTGTAGGACTAGTGGTATTTGGGAATCTGGTTCAGAAGAGCAAAAAAAATCATCACAAATTGTAGATAATGACGTTATGAATCCTATAAAACTGACGTTCTAACATTTGCTAAGGGATCTAGTGACACCAAGCACACCTAACTGAGTGATGGGCCGACCTAGCACTTAGTGCATCTGAGCAAATATTTACCCCTTATTTGGATAATTTTTTAGGGGGAAAGAAAACAAAGATGGAAATTTTTGAAGAAAATAAAATTAATTTTCATCCTCACGTTTGGATATAATAGGGTGGAAGAAAAAAACTTATTCTACCTCCAAACTAATTGTAAATTGGAGAAACTTATTAGTTACTACTTACTACTACTCCGAGGTATTTACATTTTCATCCCATTTTGAGAGTAAAATTAAGAAACGAAAACAATTAAATGTTTTCCATCCTTCTTTATTTTCCTTTCTCTTCCAAACATGATACATACACATACTCCTTTATTTTTCACCCTAAATTTTCTTTCCTCTCATATTTTACTCCTTCCAAAGAGGGGGTTAAAGCAATGGATACAACATAGAATGGTGGAAACAAATACCTTCTCACATTTGGAGGACCTAGATAAGCAGGATGGCCATAGTCACGGACATCACCCTTCAAATCAGACAAGTCATTAGTTAGTAAAATGCACTCCTCAGAAATTCTACTTTACAAGTAGATATGCACACAAGTGCGAGCATATAGTTTTGACTGCAACTGGTCAAACTCTGTGATGCTATGTAATCTTAACCCCATCATCTTTTGAGGGCTCATGTTGGATTTGAGGTTGCAGTTGGAAAAAAAGCACCATTTGAAGAGGCAATATGAGAAGTGCTTTCATGAGTTAGAAATGTTTGCTCTTGGGGTTAAAAACTGAAAAAGTAACATGTAAAAAAAACTAAGAACTATTTTCACGTCAATGGAATTCTCTTAAATGCAAAAGCCAACACAGAGGACGCATTCTGCGATGGATTTAGTGTTACAATAGCGTTTATGAACTTAAATTATTACCTTTTATACTAAAACTAAGATTTCTTTTGGATTACATTAAGAAAAAAACAAGTTTATCCCAACGGGAACACAATCCCAAAAGGGCTCTTAACAATTGAATCTAAATCTTCTCACATTTTAAACAATGTCAATATTTGGGTTCAGTTAACAAATTAGTGTTGTGGGTAATGAGCAAGCTTAAAAGAATTGAGGATATAATGCACATGCTATTTAATTCCACACAACGAGACTCAAATGGTACGGTCATGTAAAGAATTAAAACAAATCATCTAAACTTGAGTGAATTTACTTTGCTAGTCTATGTAAGTCACACATGTAGGGGCATCCCAAATTCCCAATAACTTGCAATCCAAGATATATACCTCAAAGTAGTGGAATCTATCTAAGGCAGCAGGAGGAGGTCTGGGACCAGGGAACTCTACACCGGGACCAAATGCTGGGGCTGGCCTTGAGGGAGCAGGTTCCCCTTTCGAATTTGAAAGAAATCTTGTTCTAAGCCTTGAAGCAATCTCAGCTAAGGCTTCATGAGCAAAACCAACAGTTCCCGATATCTGAATGATTAGAATAAGAAATGCTATTCACACTGGTACCCTTTCTTAGAACATACACTCCTTTCCTCTAAAAGTATCATGCTTAGCTGATATATACAGCTTTTATATTTTGGTAAGGTACAACTGTAATATATCATTATTCATAAATCATAAATATTCAATTGAATTTATTTGTTGAATTTAGTCAAATTATCACATGTAACCTATGCTTATTTTACCTTTTTTTTTGACAAACTACAAGAGCAATTAGCTTTTATTTCATAAAACTAAACTCTTTTTGCAAAAAAAAGTGTTCGGAGCATCTATTTTTCTGTAAACAGGGGGAATATGTAACATGCATATACTTACGAAATGGAGATCAAAGATTAAATGCATTAACTATTAACATGAGCAAAGATCTGGTAAACTTTGGAAATACAGAATAAAGTGACCTGCACAAGCTCTTCATCCTTGGAAGCACATAATGGCTTCTCTTCCTTAGAGATAACACGAATGTCTGCCTTAGTTCTCCTCCGCATATCATTTATAATCAGCCCTCCTTGTCCAATAATGCACCCAACCTTAGTAGATGGAACAAGAAGCCTTGTAGTGATGATACCCTTGTCAGAGGATGCACTAGTAAGACTCTGAAGCTGAAGGATTGCCTCTATAGTTTGCGATCTAGGGTCCCGCAAAGCCTGGACAAAGATATGTATTAGTGGTGCGATGCAAAGATACCATATGAAAAAAGAGGATTGGGAAAAAATCAAACCTCAACCGAGGAAACGCGAATTACTCTTTCATCAGAATCAGCTGACAAGTCCTCAACGTGAATATTTGCCCCTGTTTCTTGCTGCAAGTGTCTAACGTTACCTCCTCCCTTACCAATAACCCCTCCAATCTTAGAATCCAAACATAAAATTTTCATTGTAAACTCAGCTGGAATCTCTCCACCACCTGAGGGAGGAACCCCATCAAAACTCTCAACTCTATATCTAGAAGGCTGGTTCTCATATGCCCCAATATGTGTCGGTTGTGGAATGCCATTTAAATAGTGGTCATGTCTAGGCCAAAATGAATTTCCCTGTTCTACCATCCTTCCCGGTGGAAAGTCAGAGTATCTAAGAGCTTGAACGCTACGAGCTGCTGGATAAGTTGTGGGAGGTGTGCCTTTACGTGGATTTTGATGCAACAATGTCGATATTTCATAAACAGCTCTTTTTACCAAACCAGGTTCCCCTGAAACCTGCAAGATCCCATCACTATGAAATGAATAAACACATATAAATCAAAAAAATAAATAAAGCTTTTACATATGATGATTAACTGATCACAAGTCAAAATATGAACTTGCACACAACATCCAATGGAGGGAGGGGGAGTAAAAGATAACCATCCGCAGCATAGATAATTTTTACTGCAGACACTTTATTGATCAATTATAGTCTCTGTGTGCGTAGTAAGTTACACATAAATCATTAACAAAATGGTGATAGAAACATAATCCTTCATTCAAAGCATAAACATGATATATATAAAGGTAAGGAAGAAAGGATCCAGGAATATTTAATTTAAAAGAGAGATATTGGTAAGCTCAATAGGCGAAAGACTTCAAATTTTCAATGATGGACATGGGAACAAGAGAGAAACACATGGGCCAAAAAGTATAAACCAAACATACAAAAGGCAAAGCAACGTGTCTAGAAGAATAAGGAAATTACTTGAACCAATTCATCAGTATCCATTGCACAGGCAGGCAGACTTTCAGGGGGAAGAACAAGAATGTCTGCACCAATTTCAGTTCTTAACCTTGTAATAACATCTCCTTTTCTACCTAAAATGCAACCAACTAAATTGTTTGGAACAAGAAGGCGTGTAGTGACTTTAATTTCATCTCCATCTTCATCTGCTGCCCAAGCTAAGTCTTCCTCAATAATCTTCTCCTGGATTTTCATAAGAGCGTCTTGAGCAGCACAATGGGGCCTCATGGACACATTGCCTTCCCCACTTGTTGTATTCTTTTCATCATCAGTGCTTCTGTTTTTTCCCGTTTTTGGAGAAGGACTGGATATTATTACTACTCTTTCGTCTGAACCAGGAACAGAGTCTTCTACTGTAATCTTTGCTTGACTCTCCTCTCTCAAGGCTTTGATTATAGTTCCACCTTTTCCAATTACACTACCAATCCTTCTTGATGCACAAAGAATACGATACACAGTGTCGGATGCATTTGCATTTTCAGAAGCCCCCTCAGGGGTGTGATTATTCTGCCTCCCCCTTTTAGGGCCACCCCTTTTCTTAAATTGAGTGCTGGAATGTTGCTTTAATGGGTTTCGTTTACGGCCTTCCATTATTCAATGTAACGAAAAATGGAGACGATACCACAAGTGTACAATTGAAGAAATCTAAAATTTCCCTTGCTTTTAATTCTCTGCCGATAGTTCTGCAGCAGCCATTAGTGTAACAAAGTTGAAACCTGAACACAGAAGAATTTTTCCAAAATAAAGCCTCTGAATACCATCATTAAGTATTAAATCCTACAACATAACAACAACAACCTAGTTGGATCCCACGAGAGAAGGGTGTGGGGAGGGTGTGTGTACGGCTGTATGCACACCTTGCCCCTACTTGATGTAGAGAGGTTGTTTCCAAGAGACCACCCAACTAAAGCTCCACAGGAAAAAAGCTCACAAAAGATTCCAAAAGCAAAGAAACAACATACACAAAAAGCGTTTAGAAGCAAATAGCATAATAGTCGCCATCCTATGGAGCCATCACCATGCAACTACAAAACTAGAAAACACTCATAGCCTATGCTGCATATACATTTCAGCTCTCTGCAGCCCGGAATTAGCCAATATTTGCTGATTTTAGCTTCGGTATTCAGGAACCATATTCCATGAACATATAGTTGTTACTTGTTAAGGAAGTAGGAATGCCAGCACGCAGAGGTGGCAAGCGCTCCAAAGGGAAGAACATCGATTAACACATCTCATTTTAATAATGAAAACTGAGAAAAAACATACAAACATCACCCACATTAAAAATAAGGTCTGAAAAACTAAAGGTAAAACTCCATATAAACTTCAAAGAGTGAAGTTATGTCCAACTCCAACATTTCATAATACTCCGTAAATCAAATAAACTATTACAAACTCTAAACCAAAATGATCATGTGCCAAAGTCAGCATATACTCCCACTTTCCCTAAGTAAGGTTCATCTTTCTTTTCCACTTTCGCTTTTTTGATAAAAGCAAAAGTCCTACTGTACTTTACCACTCCATTTGTGCCCCCCCCCCAGATACAGAAGCTATATTGATAGAGCAGTATAAGGACAAGGCATATGATAAAACCCCAAGGGAAGTCTTTTCGGGAAGGTGTGGATGTGACTTAAATTAGAGCAATCAGGGACATGTATGAACTATGAAGCCATCAAGACTCAGGTAAGGTTGTGGGAGAGGACACACGAGACTTTCCCATCTTGATGAGTTGAATTAAGGATCAACCTTGGCCCTTTTTAGTTGTCCCGATGAACTGCAAATTCAGAAACTTTACTGTGGAGTAGGCTGTTTGCGGATTACATAAAGGATAGGCTTGAAGCTAAGAGAGTGACTCTAGAATATAAAGGGTTCCGGTTGAGCAAGACCAATGCCCCATTTGGCAACAGCATTAGAAATCCGCGTTAGTTTTGAAAAGGCTATCTAAGGGCAGCGTTCGGCATTATTGTTTTCAAAGTTGATCTACACCATTAAAATCTTATCTTAAACGCTAACACTAATTGAAAATGATGTTTCCAAACAAGGCTCAAGAAAGAGTACATGTAGTTATATTCAGTGATGTAGCACAAGATTTGGAAGTGAGTGTAAAGATTGAATTATGGACTGTGGACTATCCTGAAGGGAGGAAGATTTCAGCTCGTTAGGTCCGTAATACAAGGGAACAGGATACTCATGATGATGTCACAAACCATTACCCCATTAGGCCTGTAATACAGGGTAACGAGGATATTGATGATTATGTCACACACCATATTGGAGTGAGGTAAGCAAAGTGGAGCCGTTGAGGTTAACCTTTGGGTTGATTTGCATTGATTTGTGATAGGAAGGTGTCACCTTGGTTGAAGCCTGAAGGGCAAGTTCTATGTTAGACCAGCATGGTTGTATGGGACGGAACTCACTAAATATTGAATGGTTAGGCATGCTCACATAGAGAGAAGATGAAGGTCAAGGAGATAAGAATGCTTAGATGGATATGTGGACATACAAAGTGAGATATGATCACAAATGAAGTTATACACAACAAAGTCAGAGTGTCTACTGATCTTTATGGTAGATAAGATGACAGAAACTGAGACTGCGATGGTTCAGCCACGTGAAGAGGAGAGGTGATAATGTGCTAGTGAGCTAGTCAAGAGGTGTGAGAGTTTAATAATTATAGGATTTAGGAGAGGTAGAGGTATGCCAAAAAAACTAGGGAGGTTATTACTTGATACACGCACACATGGCATGGCTAAACTAAAGCTGATTGAGGACATGAACTTAGATAGGAAATTTTGGCATTCAAGACTTAGGACAAAGGGGTAATAATTTGCTCAGCCTGTTGCTCTTATTTGAGAATGAGAACTTAGAACCAGCCTTTCCATCTTTGATGTTAGAAGTCTTAGGGATTGCATAAAGTTGTTCTCTTTGTGGACTAAATTGAATGAGCCACATATTTCTATCCTTAAAAGGATTGAGAATATTAATTTGGGACACCTAAAAAAGATAATGGGAAGATGATTTTTGGGATGGAGGTAGTATTTTGTGAGTCCAACACAAAACATTAGATTCATGAAAACCCACACAAGTCAAAATACGAACTTTAAGGGACAGCAGGAGCAACAAAATATAACTAATCAAGCATTGAAATCATCATCCTCCCCCATCATGCACAAAAATTCCATATTCACTATATTGTTCATCCATTTCACCATTAACCTCATTACCATCTAGCACAAGAGGCTGGAAGAGGTTGTAGAATTCTATAGGAGCCAAGAGATGCAGAGCTTTGTGTGCGATATCTTTGAATCAGTTAAAAACCAAGCCTTTATACTATTTTGAATTTCTCTAAATGATTGAGTTTGGTGCTAGAGAGGCACGCCTCAATCGGTCCCCGCCACATTCTCACAAGGCATTGAGAGTTGTGGCCAGGCATGTGGGTCAGTCACATAGCTTGAGCACATTTCATGGTGCATCACTGCACAATTCAGACATCTGCTATATAAGTCTATAACTGCACAAAAATATATAAAATCACAGGATTGATAGAAGAAAAGCTCTAACAGAAGATCTGTGGATTAGTGTTCCAGATTTGGGATTTCGACCCCATCTAACAGTTAATCAATGACAAAAAAAACATCAAGTAATCGTGATTCATATCTGGAAATCGAAACAATGAATCGATGCTTTCTGAGAGTTATTTGGCAAGTAAGGTTGAAGAAAGTTGAAGCAGGGAAGACTGGGAGATGGGAGGGGAGCAGAAGAAATACCTGTGGAAGAAGGGTGAATTTTGGGGGCCAGAGCGGAAACGAAAGTGGTGAAATCGGGAGATGGCTTCTTACCCTTTTGGATGTGGTGATGATTCCAGGCCGGGGGACAATAACTGTTGTTGGGCTTAAGACATTTGACTATGAGAAATTAGACTTACAATACGTTACTCGGCCCAATCTAAATTTAGGGGTAAATTTTATGGAAAGCCCTTTGTAATCCATATTTTATTTAAAAAGACATAGAGTCAACATATGATTTTCTCGCCCAAAGACTATGACAATTATGAAGTAAAAATGATAAGTGGTCGCAATTATAATAATAATTAATATAATTATTATATTTATAATAATTAAAGAAAGATATGTTTAAATGTTCGAAAGGTAAGTTAATAATTGTGAATTTATAATGGTAAGTGGCCGAAATTCTAAAGTTATAATTATTATATTTATAATAATTTACGTATTGAAAATTGGAAATAATTAAAAAAGGTAAGTTATAAAATTGCAAAACGTAAGTTTTTAATAAAAATAGAATCCATGTATTATATGCTAAGAATAAGTAGCTGTCATTTTTAACCTTTTTTGTGTTAGTGTGAAGTTAATATTGCTATTATTTTTATAACAATTAACGTGGGTAATATAATTACAAATGACATTTGTGAAATTAAAATGGTAAGTGGCTAAAATTATAGTAATAACTATTATAATTATTATATTTATAATAATTAAAGAAAGGTAAGTTAAAATGGACCAAAGGTAAGTTAATAATTGTGAATTTATGATGGTAAGTGGCTGAAATTGTAAAGTTATAATTATTATATTTATAATAATTAATGTATTAAAAATGGGAAATAATTAAAAAAAGGTAAGTTATAAGATTGTAAGTTATACAATTATACACCCATTTTTGCAAAAAAAATGGAAATAATTAAAAAAGGTAAGTTATACAATTATACACCCAATTTCGCAAAAAAAAATCGAAATAATTAAAAAAGATACGTTATAATTATTAACGTGAGTAATATTAATTGGAAATAATTAAAAAAAGGTAAGTTAAACAATTATACGCCCAATTTCGCAAAAAAGTAATTATGGTAAGAATAATTATACACCATTTTCGTAAAAATTTAACCCTTCTTATTATACGGAGTAATAGTCTATAATGTGGTCTATAAAGAACTTTTTTGAAATTTGTAAAGTAGTGATGTTTTTTACATTAAAATAATATAATCTCCATATTCTATTACATATCATTTTTATCATTGAAAAATAATTTTAATTTAATAACATAAAAATGATCCGTGCAAAGCACATGTGTGATACTAGTAATATTAACGTATGATATAACCCCATTATCCAAAGATTATGGTTAATGGGAATAATACTTTTTATTGATTTTAATTCACGAGGGGGAAATATTATTATTTTAATTTTAAAAATAATTTTAAAAATTAGGGTATAAAATAAAAAAATAATTCATCCGTCCACCTAAGATCTTCTCGTTTTGACTTTTTGTGGTTTTTAAGGAGAGTTGAAAAAAGGTGAAAGTTTACCATAATACCCTTAATGAAAATGGGTGAAGTGTATTAAATGAGTTAGGTGGGTGAGGTGTAATAAATAAAGTAAGTAAGGGTAGTTGTGGTATTTTAATAGTTAAAAAAAGTAATGAGAAGATTTATGGTGGACAAATAAAATGGGCTAATGAGAAGATTTATGTGGGACGGAGGGAGTAAAAAATTTGGAAAAAATAAAAAAAAACACTCAAATAAATATATAAGGAGACCAAATTTGAATAATTTTTTGAAAATTTATGTGATTCATTTTGGATGGTTGGATGGAGGGAATAATCAATATTAACATTAACATATCAACATGAGCCCGGTTTCATGGCCACTGGATTCGAGTGGCCACGGAAGCCACTGCCCTCTACGGAGCTCCGTTCATAAAATTGATGATTCCTACCCCCTCTAACCCCCCGGTAAACCCTCGCCAAGTCCCGACCCAAACTAATCACCTCACCTACGTCAATTGCACCTCATAACAGTCATAAGTATAATTGACTTTAAAGTCAAAAGTTTTGACTTTATACTTACGAGGTGCAATTGACGTAGGTGGAGTGATTAGTTTGGGTCGGGACTTGGCGGGGGGGTTTACCTGAGATTAGTGGGGGTAGAAATCATCAATTTTATGAACGGAGCCTCCGTAGGGAGGCAATGACTTCCGTGGCCACTGGAATCCAATGACCATGGAACCGGGAACATATACACAAACAAAAAATAACCCAAGTCTCAATAAAAAAGGATATAATGAGGGGGTGGGTATCAAATGGATAAGATTTGCGAGCGCGATCCACGTGGCAGTCCCTGAAATCAGCCATACAAAATCCAACGGCTCTGGATCCTCAAAGATTATGCCCGTTTAACGTCGCCCGTTAGATTATACTGGACATACATTCATTATCTTATCTTAGCTATGTTCTCCACAATTATAATGTTACGTGGTTCCTTATCACATCCACTTTTATTATTGTCCACTTTTATTATTGCAGAGCGAGGCGAAGTAGAAAAACAAAGTACCCCATTGGAAAATGGCAGCTTCAGTCCTCTCAACTGCCGGCGTTATCGGCCGCGCCGCCCAAGCCACCGCGCTCCCGCCCTTCACCGGCCTCAAATCCTCCGCCGCCTTCCCCATCTCCAAGAAGTCCGCCGCCGACACCGCTTCCTTGGCCACCAACGGTCTCAGAGTACAGTGTATGAAGGTATCTAATTAGGCTATTTCATCCACTTATGTGTTTCATTTATAAAAGGAAATAGTAATATCGCCTATTGCTTTGTGAAATTTTTTACGCTGCTTTTAAATATGTGAAGTTTGTAGAATTCCAGTAGGAGATTGAAAACCTGCCCCCCCCTCCCCTCAAAGAATTAAAAATTTTCTCCCAAGTATCAAAATTATTTTCTAACACATGTTTTGTTAGAAAACTCAAACAGGCCGGAGGTCGCCTGAGAGACGCCGAGCCGGAACAAAAAGAATAGCGCGATCGAAAACGATCTAAAATGCCGGCGTACGAGCCTAGAGTTTTGGCTCCGATACAATGTAGAATTTTAGCTAGAATTGTTCTATTTTTCACTAATCACAAACCAATATATTACCAGTGGGCTAAACAATACGTGCCCAATATTGATGGTTTACCTAAACAATCTATGGCCTACACACAAATATATATCCGGCTAACAGTATTTACGGAAAAGAGCACCCAAACATTGATGGTTTACCTAAATAGCACCATCTTTATTTTTTTCCTTTTATTAACACTTTTTTTAAAAAATCAGTGCTGCCATCTCTACCCTTCTAAACGGCACTACCCAGGTTTAATTTCACCCCTTTTTTAGCACTGCGTACAAAAGGTCAAAGTAGTCATTTCAGAATTACTGCGTAAGTGAAAAGGTAATTTTATTAACACTGGTGTTATTTAAAGAATTGGACATTGTTTTAGTGCTATATAGAGAAATGATTTAAGTTTTAGTGCTATTTAGTGCAAATATTTCATTCTCCAAATCCATATATTATTGTGTTACCAAATAGCAGAATTAAAATTATTGTTCCCAATTTCAATTCCATAGTTTGAATTCTGTGTACCAAACAGAGCCTTAGCTTTCCTGAAAAACATTTCTTATGGAGCTCATTTGCACTTCTGAAACTATAATTTATAAGCTAAAGCAGATTGACAAACACCTGAACCTGTATTTTAGTGAAGTAGATGTTGAAGCTCATAAAAAAATTGCTCTCCCAAAACATCCTCTTAGGAGTCTTAGCCTAATATATTGGCACATATTCATATTATATAAATAATATTAGTGTTCATTAATGATAAATGTGGAGATTCATGTACAAATGAATACAAACAGGTGTGGCCACCGGCGGAAAACAAGAAGTTTGAGACATTGTCATACCTCCCAGACTTGACCGACGAGCAGTTGTATAAACAAGTGGAGTACCTCCTCAGGAATCAATGGATCCCTTGCTTGGAATTCGAGTTGGAGGTATAGGTCATGTCTCGTATACTCGTACGCGTTAGAGTATAAAACATTTCTTATAACTATACTCGGTCACAAACTTCAGCTTTTGGTTGATTTTATTTAGGAAAAATTATCTCAAATAATCTCACCTTTTCGCGCTCTTTCAAAAATAATCCCACTTTTCACTCTCGCCGGAAATAATCACACCTTTCCGCACGTGTGCGAGTTTTGGGTCACCGTTAAAAAACTAACGGTCACTTAACAGAATTTTCGAAAAATGCCCGTTTTTCGCAAATAAATGAAAGGTGGGATTATTTCAGGAAATTTCTCTCTTTTTCATAATTTTAATTTCAAATTTAAATGTATTTTTATTTTTATTTTTTCAAAAAATAATACCAAATTTAAATATTTTTAGAGTGAAACTAATTATTTTTCAATATTCGATAATCTGGTAATAATTAGAAAATAAAGTATTTTACACAATAGAGCTAATTTATTTACTTCATAACTAACTACATTTTTTGTAAGTTGCATTTATTTTTCTTGAGTGACACTTCAAATTGTTTTTTGATACTATATTATTATTATTATTTCTTAAAAAAATGGCACTACAAAACTTATGAATATTTTTCGATAGTTCTATATAACTATTTTTCTCTGAAATGAAACTTTTATTTTTATAATTCACTACATTTTTTGATGTATTTCAATTTTTTCATGTATTGCAATCAATTTGTAAAACATTTTGAACATAAAATTTTAAGAACATATTTTAGTTATTATTACCACAAAGTTTTAAGAATAAAATTAACTTGCATATTTAATGACAACATCAATATCAATATTCTTCACATTAAAAAATAGCATAATTACTTCTCTGAAAACAATTGATCAATGAAAAAAACAACAGAAAATATAAGATCACTTTAGAAGAAAAGGAATAGTCACTGCCTTTTTGTTAATTTATAACACAACTATTGCCCATATTATTTTTTTCGAAAATGGAACTTCCCAATTTGTGATTTTTTTTAATTCAATACAAATTTCCCCCCAAAATAGCAATTCAAAAGTTTTGAAAATGACACTATTTTTTCTCCAAAACGGCACTAATAACTTTTATAACTCACTACATTTTTTTGTATTGCAATTTCTTTCTTAATCGATACTCTAAATTATTTTTGATAATTCAATTTGAAAATGGCACAATATTTTTTTCTCCGAAACGGCAGTAATAACTTTTATAACTCACTACAATTTTTTTGTATTGCAATTTCTTTCTTAATCGATACTCTAAATTATTTTTGATAATTCAATACCGAGTATTATATTTTCCCAAAACAAAAACAAAATTTGTAAATCGTTAGACCAATCTCTAACAACAGTGTACTATTATATTTTTAAAAATATTAATTTTAAATTTAAAATTTAAAAAAAGTAAATTTGCCAAAAATAATCTCACCTTTCATTTATTTGCGAAAAATAGACATTTTCTAAAACTTCCGTTAAGTGGCCGTTAGTTTTTTAACGGCGACCCAAAACTCGCACACATGCAGAAAGGTGGTATTATTTCCGGTAACAGTGAAAAGTAGGATTATTTTTGAAAGAACGCGAAAAGGTGGGATTATTTGAGATAATTTTTCCTTTTATTTATGACATGATATTATAGCATTGCTGAAGCAAATGTGAGGAGTTTGTACCTCACCGCCACATATATAAAATTGATGTTCATGTGCAATGTTCACGCAAAAACAAATCTCCTAGATTGTACAGTTCCTATTTTGACTAATTGGAGAAATAAGAAATGTATATTTCTAGTTGACTTTCCAATTTTGCTTGATGTGATGAATCGATTATTAGTGAAAGCTAGGATAAGAATTAGTAAGAGTGTCGATCACGAGCATCCATTTTCGTTTTTCATTATTCAATTCAACTATGCATGCACATACATATATAGGAGCTAGTATATATGCTGTGAATTTGTGTATTATTATATATAAACTAACATTTGATGGAATATATATGTCTGTCATGTAGAATCCATTCGTGCAACGCGAAAACCACAGGTCTCCGGGATACTATGACGGGCGATACTGGACGCTGTGGAAGTTGCCGATGTTCGGGTGCACCGAACCGGGGCAGGTGCTGGCAGAGCTGGAGGAGTGCAAGAAGAGTTACCCCAATGCTTGGATTCGCCTCCTCGGCTTCGACAACCAGCGCCAGACTCAGTGCGTCTGTGTCATGGCCCACAAGCCCGCCTCTTCCTCTTCTTCTCCTTCTTAATGAGTTACTTGCAGTCGTCCATGATCATATATATATACATCCATATATCTATTGTCTATTCGGAACCCACTTGTAGTGGGAATGTAACTTGTTGTTGTTGTAATGCTGTATACATATATAGGCTTCAGGCCGTGCGTGCATGCATGCATGTTAATTGGTTGTTTCTGTTTTTGTCATTGCTTTGTAAGATTATTATATATGGCACTTGGGCAATTCAATAACCAAGAAGACATAAAAAAACACCTTAATGATCTTCTTTAATGTGTTTAATTTGGGTAGAGAGAGAACTTCGTTGTATGATGGACGAGTTTGAGATGATAATGTTGACGATTGGAGTGAAAGCGAAGAGTTTCTTTGTTTTCTTGTTGACGCTGGAATCCTAGCCCTACATGTTTGAGATGATAATGTTGACGCTGGGATCCTAGCCCACAATCATAGTCATTATTTTTGTGTTATCCGCTTAACCAATATCAGAACACGTCACTAGACATAATGTTGATGTCAAATTATACTTTTAGCCTTTAAATTAACACCAACATGGCAGAAGATAAAAAAAAGGACCATTTGTGGAAAGGCGTCCTTAAAAAAAAGACTACAGGGGTAATATTTGATAACAGAGGACTAAATATGAAAATCCTCCTATTATAAAGGACCAATTATGAAATTTACTCTTTTTAATGCTAAAATATTAAAATTATTTTTTAAAAACCAAGTGTTAATCAATGTTAGTAGTAAAAAATGTTAAGCAGAATGTATATACTTCGTACATATCAGTGATACTCCGTATCACATATGAGTACATATCTTTTAATAACCATTTTTACAACAATTTAAATATTAAAATATAAATTTATATTAAGCTTAAAAATATCAAATAATTAGAATAATGAACATCTCACTACTAAAAAATGGGCTTTAACACATGTTTTTTTAGACTTTTTGTATCAATTTTTTACTGATGCAAATGCAAGCAATGCAATTGTCGTAGGGCAATTATATTGCATGGGTTATTTAGACCCTATTAGAATTTAGGGCCCTGTGTGGGTGCCCTCCTCGCTCACCCTTCGCTGCAATGTTCTGAAAACCAGACCGGACATCGACCCGAACAAAACACTGGGTCAAGGGTTAACCGGTTGAACCGGGGTCAACTCGGGTCAACGACCCGGTCAAACCATAATTAAAATGCTAATATTTTATATTATATCATTAGATATTTTTAGTTAAAAAAGTATTTAGCTTGTGTTTGTACTTCTCCATCTAGTTTTAATATCATTGTGCATATATTATTTCACAATTTCTATTTTTTTCAATTACTTTTATTATCATTAAAAATTAACAGTGAATGTCTAACACACACTTAAATTATAAGGTAATACTCATATTTTTAAAAAATAAAGAATAGATAATATGTTCTTATTTACTAGTTACATTTTACGGAGTAAAATTTATATTTTGTTGATTAAAATGATTGAAAATATAAAAAAGCAGCATATTAAATTATAATTAATAATTTAAAGATAAGAATAATACATTAAGTATAGATTATTTATAGTTTTCTTAAGATAAAAAATAAATAATACTCTCTCTGTCCTTGAGTATTTATCCACTTTTGACTTTTTTCAGTCAAAATTGGTAAACTTTGACCTCAAATTAAATAAAAATGATATTAGATATTAATACAAAAAGAGTTTTATTAGATTTAATATATAAAATATTTTCAAAATATTATTTTATTTAATTAAAATACAATATATATTTTATTTAATTATAGGTCAAAAGTTAAAAATAGTTGACCGAAAAAAGTCAAAACTGGACAAATACTCAGGAACGGAGGTAGTACTAATTATATTTAAGTTTGAACTACTTTAAAAATTAACAATATAAATATATTATATAAACATAGTTCTTTTTTTAAATAATTGGAATTTTTTTAAAAAAAATTACTCTCTAAATAGTTTTAAAAGCTAATATATTCCACATTGCATGGTATTGTTGGTTAAGAGCTCTCTTTCCCAGCCTTGGTGGCAAGGTTCGAATCCTGGATTGAGATTTTTTAATCAAATAAGGCATTTTGATCTAAACCTGGGAACCGGCCGGACCAATCGGGTCATCTGGTTCGCCGGTTCTTCCGGGTTTGAATAGGTCAAAGCAAGGGCGGGTTTTGATGTTGAACTGGACCGGATTGGTGTCTGTTTCACGGTCCAATCGGTTGGACCGGCCGGTCCAGTCCGGATTTAATAACATTGCCCTTCGGGCCACCTTCGCTTTTTAAGAGCTCTCTTAAAATTGTTTTTTCAATTCAAAATTAATTTATGTTCTATTTTGTAAATAATCATATTACTCATATTTTGGAGATAAATGACGGTATATTTTGGTCATATCAAGAAAATTTCTTGTCAATATCACTTAGATTTCTTCATATTTCTTTTAAAAAAGATGAAGTTCTGTCCATTAATTTAAGTTTTTGGGTGTCGTTAAAAATAATTTTTGACTTAGAAAATGAATTGAAATTTTATATACAAAGAGAATAAGCTCACCCGACACTTCACTCAATTCATTCAGCCTATCGAAAATTCGACATGAAACAATGGAAGATGTATCTCTCAAGAATTGAATTCAAATCCATTTTAAAATTAGGCAAGCAATTTTAGTGGAAAAAAGAGGGGACAATAAGAGTAGGGACCCATGTAGTATGTCTCCATCACGTTAAAGAGGAAATACAAAGTACTCGATATTAAAGAAAGAAAAAGATGAGTCTCATTCATCTATGAATTTTCATCAAATTCAATTGGAGGATCACTAAAAAGAGGTTAATTATATTTGATAATAGAATAGTGACAAGGGTAGAATGTGTATGTGATTATTACAGAAATCATATGTTTAGTACAGTCATTCTTATACAATTATTAGAAATTGAACTCGAAATTACCCTTTATAAATATACTGAGTAAATAACAAGGGATACTCCTTATCAAAAGAAGAATGTTACGAATACATCAAAAGTGTAATCTAAATGTACATCACCCTTTTCATTACCACTCATACAATTGAGAGTTAGTGTATATTTGGGGTACACTTTATACAATATAGCATTTTTGCTATCAAAAAGCAAGGAATATGAAGACCTCAGCATAAAACCTCGTCGTCGTCCAAGAAGAGGAAAAAGTAAAACAATAATGATAAGAAAGACATCAGCGTTTCAGATTTGATTTCGACACAGGACAGGAGTGGAAAGTCAAGTCCGTTCGTGTGTTTGAGATTTGATTAATCCTACATACGATTCAAGGCCAGATTAGTTTAGTTCGTTAGCTGTTAATGGGGAAGCATCCGAAATTACCGGGCGTCAGTGAAGAAATCCAGAAGCTTCTGGATGCTGATATGGACTTGGTAGATGCCAGGCGCAGAGCGCGGGAGGCCTTCAAGGATACCCAGCTCTCCATTGATCATTTCTTGTTCAAGGTATACTATATATACTTGACTCACATATTTCAAATCCATCCTTTGAAATCACTAGTTTATCATTCATTCATATCTATAATGTGGATATGCTATCTGGAGGGTATTTCAGACAATACACCATTCTTCCAGGCTCCGTCCGTCCCAAATTAAAGTTCTCACTTGTTTTTTTTAGAACGGAGTTTAAGAAAAAGTTAAATTGTTTCCAAAACATTTTTTCTTGTTTGGTTAGAGAAGAAATGAAAAGAAAAGTGGAAGGAAAAGAAAATGAGAAGACAAAATGTACTATACTAAGCAGGGAGAAACCGAATTGCTCCCATTTTGGTTATGTGAGGAAAATGAGAGAAAACTATTTTCGTTTCTTTTCCTTCCGAATTGCTTGAACAAAACATAGCGTTATGGACAACCAGAAAAGGAAAGTGAGATTTTTTTTGTAGGGAGGGTGTATTTAGTGAATATAAAAAGTGCGCAACTAATATCGGACACATAAAACAAGAAAGTAGATAACTAAATCCGGACAAAAGGAATACTATAAATTGTGTGTGTGTTGGTGGAACTCTAATTGTATGAACTATGAAGCTGTCATCTAGTTTTCTGCAAATGTCATGGAAATGCAAAACATTGTTTATCTGAGTATCCCTTTAATATGTCTTTATAATATGGTTGATGGTCCTATTATTTGCAGGGGCCACATTCCGAGTTAAAGATGGAGGAGGTAACTAAATTACATACTGCCACCTTACATCATTCAGTCTGTTGAACATCTAGAGAGAGTCTTAAAATCGGTCATTCTGGTTTTGTTTTTCCCCTTTTTTGGGCAGTCGTACGAGAAAAACTCAAGAGGGGTGGAGATTTTCTCCAAGAGTTGGATTCCGGCGACAAGTCCTCCCAAAGCATTGATTTGCTTGTGTCATGGTTACGGAGATACTTGTACATTCTTTGTGGAAGGCATTGCTAGGAAGCTGGCGTCTTCTGGTTATGGAGTATTCGCCATGGATTATCCTGGTTTCGGTCTCTCAGAAGGCCTTCATGGGTACGTTCCGAGTTTCGACAAGCTAGTTGATGATGTCATTGAGCATTACTCCAAAGTTAAAGGTATACTCAAGGGTGGTTTTGTCATTCATACCCAAATTATTTTTGTTTTTTTGTGACATCTGTTTGGTTCATTGTTAAATACTACGTATTGAGTAAAGTTCACCAGTGGCACGTGTACTTTAAAGGTTTTTTAAGTTCAGTACCTAAACCTCATTTTCTATAAAAGAAAAATACTTGAACTTTGCCAAACCTTATAAGAAAAAGATTTTAACAGGTTTAATTGGTATGATTACACCCATCATGCAGTGCTACCTAATTGCATAAAGGAAATGACCGGTAGATGACTTGAATCCTGCTAAAATCTTTTCCTTGAAAGATTTGGTAAAGTTCGGGTTTTTTTTATAGAAATTGAAATTTAGGTACTTAAATGAAAACACGTCCAAAGTTCAAGAACTACGGGTGATATTTACCCGTTAAATATTGGGATTGATATTGTCCCTCCGACTTTGATACACTCCAAACCTGTCATTGAAAGAAAGACAGAAATATTCCTTGTTACTTTTTTGTCAACGTATTCTTTAATGTGGGGTATTATTGTCTTTCAGCCATAAAAATCTGGATGTTTGTTGCAGAAAACGAAAACTGGCGCACATTGCCAAGCTTCCTATTTGGACAGTCTATGGGAGGAGCGGTTGCTCTCAAGGTGCACCTGAAGCAACCTGGTGCATGGAGTGGGGCTGTTCTTGTTGCACCTATGTGTAAGGTATTAAGCTGGCTATGCAAACTCTCAGCTTATAAGGTGTTCTGAGCTTTCAAAACTGACTTATTGTTTATGATAGATTGCAGATGATATGGTGCCACCGAGGCTATTGACATGTATACTCATTTGGGTGTCAAAGTTTCTTCCGCGACAGAAGCTGGTTCCTCAAACAGACTTGGCTAAGTTGGCATTCAGAGATTCAAAGAAGAGAGAGCAGGTAGTTTTTATGGAAGGTGATAGTGTCACTACGGAGTATATTTCTTTTACTTGAAGATGTGTGTTTGGTTAATTTTGCAGGCTGCCTATAATGTCATTGCTTACAAACATAAACCGCGCTTGGGGACTGCCGTGCAACTATTGAAGACTAGTCAAAAAATCGAAAATTTACTAGAAAAGGCATGTCAATAATTTTTCTACATTAATACTTTATCCAATCTTCTAGGGTCCATTTCGAACTCGGAAAATGAGCTAGGGAAAGAAAATAGAGAGGAACAAACATATAGGAGGCATTCAGAAGGAAAGAAAAATGGACACGAAAATGACTTTCGATAGTAGTACATCTTTTGCCAAATGCCTTATCAAACGAAAAATAATGCTTACAAGTTCAACACTTTTATGCAACCTATAGGTGTCTCTGCCCTTGCTGATTTTGCATGGGAAGAATGATAAAGTAACAGATCCATCAGTAAGCCAAGCACTGTATGAGAAGGCAAGCAGCCAAGACAAGAAACTAAACCTTTATGAAGATGCTTGGCATTCCCTTCTCGAGGGCGAGCCCGATGAGATGATTCACAGAGTTATCACTGACATTCTTTCTTGGCTTGATGAACATACACATACATAGTTCTACATGTCACTACCTATGTGAATCAAACCGATACAATCATACAAACACGCCCGGTGTGTGTTTGTGTGTGTGTTCTATTTAAGGGTATAGTTTGGGTTGAGATGGCTGGTATGGTTGATGTTATAGTGCAGTTGAGGGTGTTTGGGATTGTTTTTTGGAGATTGATTCTCAGTTTATGTCTTATATAGAAGATGCTTGGCCATGTTCGGTAGTACTTTTGGTGATTGATTCTCAATTTTTGAGAGAGATTCAAAGGCGGAACACGTTTGGAAGCAAATTGAGGTGTTTTTTTAAATCCGTGGCGGAAAAATTTGTTTTTGTTGAAACTTGAACATCTTCTCGTCCGTTTGATGATGTTCAATCTCTGGTGAAACTTGAACATCTGGGATTCTGGGGTTTACATTTGTATGATTATGTCATGAAACTTTTTAATTGGTATTCTGGAATGTAATGCTCTAAATGAGATCTTTTGGAAATAATTTCTTTATCCTTTGAGATGTAAACGTACAGATTATGTGTATCTTTGTTTTGAAATTTTGTTTATGAGATTTTATTGTCTTTTTCTATGAAATATGTTGTACTCTTTTAATTTGATTTTTCCGTGGATGATAAAGAAAAGTTATTTATCACACGGAGTAATACTTCTAAAAATAAGACAAATTACTATAATACGGAGTGAGTTAGAATTGACCCAAAAAAGTGAACAAAATACATTGCCACAAAAGAATTGGTGAGCAAAATCTTGTTGCAATTAAATGAGTTTTAAAAAGCCAATATGAAATCTGTGGTGGTTGACAAAGCTATGAGAGCATTTGCAATGCCTCGCCTCCACATGTCAACATTTATCGTCAAAATGTGTCAATTTACAGCTAAAACAATAACTGATCCACTCCACATTTCATTTCATACGAGAGGCATGGCTCTCTATTTATTTTCTTTTTGAAAAAAAAAAGAATCATTTTTATTAAAGGAGTAGACATATTTTAAGAATCATTTTTATATTATCACTCTCCATTGAAGTGCTACCGTCAATCATCTTGGGTAGCTAGTGTTATATTGTTATCACATTATCATTTCTTTTTTGTTAACAATTTACTTCCGACATTTCTTTACATCAATACATGTTTTCTTCTTTCTATCATCAACAGCCCAGCCTACTACATGGCTAACATGTGCAAAGAGAGTTTTTTTTGGTCGCCCAAACTAGGGCTGTAAACGGATAGCCGAAAATCCGATTACCGTCCGCATCCGTATCCGTTTAAAGAGGAAATATCCGCATCCATTTTAAACGGATATTATCCGTATCCGATTAAGGATATCCGATTACTAAACGGATACGGATTTGGTAATTGTATATCCGATCCGTTTAAAATCCGATCCGCATATGCATCCGTTTAAATAACCGTTTATCCGAATATCCGATCCGTTATATATAGTTTTTTCTAATTTTTTATTTTTATATTTTTTTTCTCTATTGATATTTNTGATTTAATAATAGCTTGACTTTAATCTAATTTTAAAAATAAAGTATTTTTTAAGTTGATTTTAAAAATTGGAAACGGATCGGATATATCCGATATCCGACCGATATCCGACGGATGCGGATACGGTTTTGATTTTCAGTATCCGTCAAGATCCGTATCCGAATTCGATATCCGACAAAAATAAACGGATGCGGATTTGGTAATGGCACATCCGATCCGATTAATATCCGTTTACACCCCTAGCCCAAACTTTCTTCTGCCTGTCTCTCTCACTGTCTATGCTTTTCGATCTGTTTCTTGTTAGTGGATGAGTGGCCATGAAAACTCGGCCTCCACTCAAGATCACCTCACACCAAAGGGTAAATCTTAATTATTGTGTACCTTCAGATCTCTCTTTCTCTCTATCTATCCATGTACGGAGTGTATGTGTGTGTGTGTGCGCGCGCGCATATATATATATATATATATATATATATATATATATATATATATATATATATATATATATATATATATATATATACACACACACACACACAAACCCTGGGGTATGTAAAATGAAGCTTCATAAGCTATCGTCGTTCTTTTCTTCTATTTTTTGCAGGTGAGGATCTGGTTTAAGGGTTGTTATTTGTTCTCCCAATCATGGCCGCCGCCTCTTCCTGCTTTGCCCTCCCTTCCATCTTCAATCCTCACCGGGTTAGTCCAGGGTTTGATTTGATGTTCTTGGTATCGTTTTTGGTGTTTGGGTGTGTTTCTTTGTGTGTTTGGGCATTCTTGATTCTTTGTTTGCTTGTGTGTGCTGAGTTCTTGAGCTTGATTTATCAGGAAATTCTGCCCCTTTTGTTTGATTGGGTGGTGTCTGGCTAGATTAAGTTTTATTTTTTTGCTTTAGGCTGTGTTTGGTATCCAATAACTGGCTTGACATGCTGCTACAAAACAGACTCGTTATTGATTAGAAGGAACATAGCACTCCTTAACTTGTTTTTGTACTATTTGGATGGATGGCTCATTCCAAACAGGCTTTAAGATTTCTTTTGGGGATGTTTTTCAGGCGAAAACATCATTTGGGGTTTTGAAAGGTGTTAAATGCACTCTAAGCGGGGGCGGATATAAAACTAGGGTCGGTCCAAAAATTTTGGATACCTTGTGCAAAAAATAAAATTATGTTTCTACAGTTTGGATTTTGGAATGTCGAAATTTCAATATTTGGAATTAAGACACTATATTTTTTAAAAAGCATCAAACACGATCAACTGGGGCTGATATAAAAGAAAAACAGAAAGTCTGATCAGTTAAGCAATGGCTAATGCGGGGCCTAAACACTTCTCCCCTCCCCTCACATATGGGTTGTGGGGGGGGGGATGTTTCAAGAAGAGTGCATACAATTGCTTTAGAGGGATCATAGGTCTATGTGACATTATGTTTGACACAACTGATGACACCGATGTGTCTCGCGGACATGCATTGACAATCATACTCATTGTATGTGCATGCACAAAGAGTCATTGTGTGTGCGTGTCCATGAGACCCAGTGGTGGTGTCATCAATGATGTCAAACCTTGGTGTTAAAATAGCATTTTCTTTTTTTTGCTTTAGGTTATTTGTATTCTTCTGAGGAATAAACAGTTAGTTCCCCTTGTAGCTCCACTACCCAAGTTTGGCTTCAAAGGGAAGCCAAAACTCCGTTCTTGCTGCTGCAACTGCAAATCACAGACTTTTCTACCAGCGGATTAAGAAAGACAGAAGAGGAGGCAATCTGAGGAATAAATTTAGCTTTCTGGGGGCCTCATTTCAACTCAACATTGGAAGAAAATCTATGCACAAGAGAAACTTGGCGGTATCTGCATCATGTAATTCGGTCGTGAACAAAAACATGAGGGTAGAAGTATCATTTACATTCGTTTCGGAAACTTTTGGCCGACTTATTAATAAACCTTTCCACCTTGTTGTCTGTCTTGTAGTGTTGCCAGCTTCTCAAGTTGCTAGCAGTGCTTTTACGTGGGGAACTGTAGCCGTTCTCCCATTTTATGCTTTCATGGTTGTGGCACCAAAATCCGCGTGGGTAAGTCTCTCAATATTTCTTTTTTATTTCATCTTATACAAAACATACAATAAATAAAACAAACAAGTCCAGTAAAAACCCACAAAAAGTAGGGTGTGTACGCAAAGGCCTTAACCCTACTCAGAAGTAGAGAAATTGTTTTCAATAAATAAAAGCCAACAAACTTACATTGTTGTGTTTCCTATCACCGTGTTGTGTCACAACTTGAATAGTGATTATTTAAAATGCAGACCCAAAAAATGATGAAAAGTGGAACACCATTTGTCGCACTTGGAGTGTTGTATGGCTATCTTCTCTATCTCTCTTGGACACCCAATACGTTACGCCTCATGTTCGCCAGCAAATATTGGCTGCCGGAGGTGAGTGCGTTCTCAACCATTAACTACTCGGAGGAGGCGAGGTCATCCAGTGGTTTGATCACACTACTAAATTAAAGGGTTTCATCCGGATTCGATCCCTCCCCCCACCCCCCCTCCCCAATAATCCTCTTAAACTGAATCCGAAAAAAAAACTATTGGGCACTAGGCTTTCGTGTAACTACATTCATTTTTTTCCTCTCGAGCTGAACCCATATATTACAGCTTTCAGGCATAATTCAGATGTTCAGCAATGAGATGACTATGGCTTCCGCGTGGATTCATCTTCTGGCTGTGGACCTTTATGCTGCAAAGTACTGTTTTTATCTTAAACTCTCAAATTCATTCGTTTTGTCTTTTTTCCCCGGGTTTGGCAATGGATGGGTTTGTTTGTTTTTTTGAACTTTCAGGCAGGTATATGAAGATGGAATGCAGAATGATGAAGAGATCAGGCATTCGGTGTCGCTGTGCTTGCTGTTTTGCCCCATTGGAATTCTTGTTCATCTCGCAACCAAAGCGGTATCCGGCATGAAGAAAGGGAAACGCACTGTTCAATAACCATACCCATCTTCATTTGATTCTTTCTTCATTGGCAATGTTAGAACTATGAATTATCACATTATGATTTTAATGATCATGCCTTCTCTTAATATTACTACATCCTAGTACATGTTTGATTGTTATACCCTCTCCGTCGGGATTTAGTTGTCTATTTTCTAATAGTGTTTCTCACTCATTCATGTCCACAATGCTCATATCCTATACCTTAGATATTTTAAACAATTCATCATAATTTTCTTATTGAATTGTAAAGGGTATAATTAATTTTGGATAAAGAGAGTATTATTTAATCACGGAGTAAATTAATAAAAACAATTTATTGCTTTTTAGAATGCATTTTGCAACAAAAAACTTACCCCGTATAAAATTATTTTCTCTAGATGGTGTTAATTATTTTGACTAGGTGTTTTGTTCTTTAGCCAGGCAAACACAATAAACCAATCTAAGAAATTATAAAAGAATATTATACAAAAATATGAACAAACCATAAACCATTTTTTTGCCATATTTTGCAAACGGGAGATGTCAATATGTCATAAATGAAGCTTTGCTAGCTCTTGAACAAAGAATGAAAATAGCACTCATTGTGAGAGAATAATGGTGTAGGAGGAAGAGAGTGCAAGAGAAGTCCCTAATTTTGAAAGCTCACCTTTCTAATGAAAAAGAAAGCATCTTGGAAGAATATTCTCATATTCTCATTTTTTTTTCTTAAGTTAATTAGGCTGGTTTGGCTGATAATCATAAATGTATGAAAAATTTGGACCTAAATGTCTATGCCAGATGATATTCCAGAACTGAAATACTCGTATTCACCCTAACACCAGCAAAAAAACCTCATAGTTAGTATGAAGGGTATCAATGTCTGTACAATAATTTTCGCAGCTCTTCACCATTGGAAGAAAGAAAATGTAAAGAGTTTCGTTAAACGACAGTAGCTTGAGATATGACACATTTTTCTTTGCAGTTTTGCTGCAATAAACAATTTGTGCAAAGAGTTGAACAATTTGTGGGTTGCCATGCCAGAGACTTGACCAATTTGTGCAGTTTTACTACAAAACTGCAAAAACAAAAACAAAAAAAAACAAAAAAAACAAAAACAAAAAACAAAAAACATTAGTGAACTATAGATTACCATGGCCTGTTGGTGTATAGGCTTTATTATGGGGATGTTTGTCATTGCTTTTCATTCATGCTTTAGAGATCTCTAGTTGGCAAACTACAAATTATTTTCAATACAAATTACTTCTTTAAAGGGCGTTCTGCACACGCTCAAAATTGGAAGAGTTAAAACTTTTCCATGCAAACTAACCCGCAAGAGGAAGACTTTAAATGTAAGCAAACATACATACATTAAGTTGGAAGAGGAGACATTTCAACCCGATCATCCAAGAACCCATTTGATAGACTTGAGCTCTGATTTGAACCTTTCCTAGTAATGTCCAACGATGTTGCTTCATATATCCCTGAAAGTATATCATTATACAAAGGTTTCAAAGCAATTGGAAATATGGTTTAAGTGAAATTTCAAGACATACAAGTTGAGTGCATTGTTTAAGTTGTTTCATTATCACTAAGTATGTCAGGGGTCCTCTAAAAAAGAGTCTCCCTACGCTTTCGAGTATATGTAAGTTCTAGGTATATCTTGCACATTGGGTTTGTTTGGTCAGTAGCAAAGTGGAGCTTTCAAATTTATGAACTATCCCCCCCCCCAAAAAAAAGAGGCCGCAAATATCCCATATGATGTGTTTAACTGATTGCTTCACTGGAGAGGGTATAAGCGAAGACATGGTTTGTATTTACCAAAACCCAAAATGACTGCACAAATTAGAAAACCAGGTAGGGAGAAGTCCATTTTATATGCAAATTCCATGACAATGATGCATCCTCCTGCAGCCATCAAATGCCTTGGAGAAGAAAAAACCATTTGCAACCTACAAATATAGATTAAAGATAAAGAGAAATCTTAGGCAGCAGTTTAATGTAGGACAAAATTTCTCGACAATTAAATGAAATACATAGTACGCCAAGGAATCTGCTATCTCTCTAATCATCAAGCTTCCCACATTTTAACATCTGGGAAATTGTGTTCTTATTTTTTTAAGACGCAAAGCTATTTCTGAATACAACAAAACACACATTGTAATTGTAAATATCATCGATGAAGACCCATATGAGATACATAGATAGAATGTTACAATGTGAAGAAATAGTTTGGATAAAGTACCTTTCCTCTGCAATACTATCAACGTAGAATATCAATATGATGCCGAAAAGGATGGTGCTTGTAAAAGCCCATGCAGAAAATGGCAACTCTACACTAGTTGATCCCTGAAGAACTCCCACAAGGAAAAGATGAAGAATGCTCAAATTGGCTGTAAATGTTACTGAACGGAAATCATAAGAACATAAAACTAAACTCACTATAATCATGTCCCACATGGCAATCGGAAACAAAAAGCATGTTGCAGATGCAATTGTTATGGCATTTAGTCGCCTCTTCAGTTGATTCTGCGTATATGTAGAACAATAGTAAGTGCAAGGTCATCCAACAAGACCACAAGACAAAATTACTCAATACCTTAAGGGACACCCGCCTAGCAATCACTCTTCTCAAGGCTGATAAAATTCCAGCGAAGATGGGGATTATCATTTCCTTCATGCCTACAACTTGTTCCGACTTTCCCTCATTATCATCATTAGTGCTACCGCCAAATGGTATTTTTTATGTTAAGGTCTTAATGTATATACTCTGCCAAGTGAAGATAAGGGGATATTGGAAAGATCCTAAATCCCTATCAGTCAAGTAAAGGGTCTGTTTGGAAGTTGGAAAATGATTGGCAGAAAAAATAGGGAAGAAAATAAAAGAGAAATTTGGAAGGAAAGGAAATATGAGGGAAGTAAATCATTGATTCAAAGGTTATTTAACTTATTTATTTATATTATATTAAGACCAGAAATTTATCTTTTTTTCAATCAGAAGCCAACAGGCCACTATAAGAAATGTATACATATGTAACAAAGTTAAAAACATAAATTATATTTCAATTTCCATTGCATTACTGAAAATAAAAGCAAACACAAGAAAATCACTTTTCTATACATTTTACCTTTTGTTATCATTTTTCAGAATCCAAACATACCCAACATGGGTTTGCAAGCAATCAAAGGATATAAATTGGTGAATATGTGGCCATTGCCCATCCTTGTGATAAAAAGTAGAAAGATGTAAGCATTGCAACGAGCCCTCCTACCTGAAGTGATAGATCGATACTAGATTAATATAGACCACCATGTAGTGTATCATGTATTGTGAAAAACTAATGTCTTCATCCCCAGGGGTGGACGGTGATAAACTATATGCATGGGACTATGACTGCAAGTTAGAGAATCAAGTTGTAGGATTTATCAAAACAAACCTTCTTCCAGAGTTGGCCTTTCCTTCCATATAGTACAGCAGATACTACACCTAGAACAGCACCAGAATATTCAGCTAATATAGCTCTGCAATGGACAATAGTCTAAATATTACTCAGTAAAACATTACACGTATTCAGCTAATTTGTGATTATTTACAGAAAAGAGGGTTGCCCTTAGTTGTGCCTCAGGCACACTCATATACACAAGTTATAACTTTAAGCTCCAATAATACAAATCACAACTTTTCATATAAATATATAATAGGATAAAGTACAATAAAATTCTTCTTCTCTAGTTTCTTATTCAGTTTTACATTTAATATAAAGGTCAGTTGCAAATTTGAGATCATCAGGGCATTCTGAAATAATATGATGTAGGAGCTTATAGTCGAAAGCGATAGGCAACTATCCTTATTAAACTGCAGTACAACTATGACACATTTACATACTGTTTTAAAATTCAGTGGTGAACCATGTGTTGATATTCTTTTTACCAATGCAGCAGCATGACATAGAAACTAGGCTGGTTAAACCATAATTTCCATAGTTTGATATCATTATCAGGAGTGCAAGGACTTTGAGATTGACTATCATAGATGATGGAAAAAAGTTCATAAATTAATCTGTTCGGCTGTTAATAAGCATATCCCGTTTCATTAATCACTTGCAAATTGATCTGTTGACATGCTAAAGAGTAATGGCAAGTAACACAACATCAGCCCAAGTCCGTGACCATGAAAAGCTATAAAGACCACCACAAAAGTGGCATCTCTCCGCATGACACTTACCGGATAGGACCACATGATTTCAGGCCTTTCCCCCACATGATGAAGTATAGTGCTGTAATTGCACCGTTTATTACAGAGGGCACTACCTGTGAAGAAAATGGCATTGACTAAGAAGCAGGTATAACCAACACCATTTTAACCGAGAACTTGAATGCTTGCATAAGAATAAGAAGAAGAGGAAGTAAAAATCAAAGGGGCCACTTCCACAAAACCTGTGTATTAGCCAGCGGCCTGCCCTTCCATGGCTTTTGCATGACCAAAAATAGGATGCAAGACGGAACAAGACAGCTGAAGATAAAAAGGACGACAGACGCCCCAGTCTGCGACAAATACCGATACATTGAGTAAACTGACCATATTCTCAAGAAGTTCCCAACAATGTGAATTATCTGCAAGGGTGTTTGCCTGCATTTCAGCCCTCATACTATCAGTACATGAACATGGGGCAAGTAAAGAGGAACCCAACCTGGAGGGGTCTCCAAATGCATAGCATTTGGTGAATACATAAAATATCAGCTCTATTTGATGAAATAAGATTCCTCTTTTGGGATAAACCCCACATTGAAACATTGCTTTTTTGGGCCGGATGAAGTTCTAAACCTAGCAAGAACTATAAAACAAATTCCAGACTTCAATTTCAAGGATGTGGCATGAGAGTAGAACTGAGAATTACCTAAACGTGGCTGACTGAGAAGAACCGCCTCGATCTTCGAAAATTGGCTTAGGGGACATCATTTTTTAGAACGAATTCAGAAGAAGGAGAAACGTTCAGCCATGGGGATAAATTTCGATCTGGGAACCGAATTCTGAATGATGATGTGCAGAAGATTCATCAAGCTTGGTGAGGGAGTTGAGATAACTGGGTTTGACAGAAAAATAATTTGGTGAAAGGAGAATCCCCGGATTAAATTAATTGCCCACCGGCAGCTTTTCTTTCCGGGCAAATGGGTCTATTTGGTAACGCCCCGTTTGGATGGGGGAAAGTATGGGTGGGCACAGTTTGAAATAATTCTAATTATATTACGTAACTATTTGAAAATAGTGATAGAGATTAACGTTAGTGTTTTGTAAAAGATATTTACGGACCGTATTTAGAGTTAATGTTTTCAAAGTAATCTGCATCATTAAACATTTACAAGTATCTTCAATTTTTTCCAGTTTCTTTCAATTTTTTCTAATTTCTTTCAGTTTCTTCCAATGTTTCAGTTTCTTCCCGATTTCTCAACTGCTCTCATTTTTTTTCTCCCAAATAATGTCTCTAAAATTAAAATGTTTTTCATGTATATTTATTATTGTTGTTGTTCTTGTTGTTGTAGTATTATTATAACTATTATCATTATTCTATTTCCACATGTGATGGCTGAACACTAAAATTGATTTGTTTTTGAAAATCTAGCCAGCATGCCCAAGCCATTCCCAACCTAAAAAATAGACCCCAATTAACTAATTTAATTCTAATCTTTGATCCTTATAAAGTCTTTATTCTGAGTATGATTAAAGACAGCCTTGATCTAGATTTGAACCGGTGTGTAACTATAATAATGATATCCAAAGATATTAAATATAAACCTTATTTCATTATTGAGAGATATGAGATTTGATATCGTACACGCTCACTCGGGTGTGATACAGGTATGATTCTGCTTTTCGATACAGCAAAACTATGACTAGTACTAGTGTGGGAGGAGGGAGGGCTCTATGCGGTTCTGACTTCTGATTCTAGGTCAGGTCCCGGAGGGGTTTTTTTCTATTTTTTTTATATAAATGATGTTTTACAACGTGCTATTTAAATAAGTTTAAAAATGCAAAGTAAAAAGAATTCGTCAAAAAGATAAAAAATTTCAGAACTCGAAACAAACTCCGGTCATAATTTCCAAAAATAAAAATAATATTTAAAAACATTTTCCATTGATTCCTTGTTTCGGTATCGAAACCCTCTCCCTAGTATATTTCTAGTTCCCATCCGAAATTCCGCCGGCAATTAATTAGGGCGAATGGTGACCTGCTGCAAGAACGGCCGAATGGATCGGCCACGAAGGAGGCTGCGCGATGGATTCCCGATGAAGGAGGCTGCGCGGCGATGAAGATGGAGGTTGTTGATGTAGGTCTTCCACGGAGGTTGTTGATGAAGATGGAGATCGTTGGATTCCCGATCAATTCTGCTTCCGTTCGCGATGGTCTTCCGCGCAAGATCTTTTCTTCCACTTACCAGGTTTCAGACATACAATTATATGAATGGTAGGTTGTTTAAGATTGAGGACTAGGTTATATGGGAATGAGTACTACTGTGTTTTAGAATGAATATTATGTTATTCGTAAATGAATATTGAACAAATTTGTGAAAGTGAGTACGACGTTATTTCTAAATGAGTATTGCGTTATTTCAGAATAAGTAACACGTTTTTCAAATGAACCCTTATGCTTGTGCGAGAATGAGTACTACTTTACTTTGGAATGAGTACTACATTAATGTACTGATCTCTAAGTACATCTGGATATACCATATACCAACTCCATATAGTAATATTAAATCAGATTAATAAGAGATTTGAATTACACTACAATTAAATTAGATAAAAGCAAATTATGTTAGAGTTAAAACTAAATGTGTTTTTGGTGAGCAAAATAGATATGGATTTTGATATATTCAGATATCAAATCTTGTTTTTTAGTGTTTAGTAAAGCCAAACGAGATATCGAGTTTGATACTTTCCTTATCAACCATTTACTATTATTCGTCACGAGTTACCGTTCTCAACATCAACCACCCCATTATCGATTACCCATGCCTATCTATTTAAATTAAGATTTCAAATCTTTTCAAATAATTTTATTTCAGATTTCAATCTTGTATCATTCTTTTCATACCTCCAAAACTTATCAAACATGTCATTCATTCTAGAATAAAGCCTCAATAGGATAAACATTATTGGGCCGGGGGTAACGCATGGGGCTCCCCAACCCTAATCCCGCTTCCTACCATTACTATAAGACGGCTCCCATCTTCTCCCCCAGTTTCCATTAGATTTCAGGCCTCATTGCGATTCGACGATCTGCACTTTTTTTTTTTTTGTTATCTCTCATTCCGTCTTTCTATATATTGCTTCGCTATCTGGTTGGCGAGATTTCTCCCTTTTTCGCCCAACTCGTTCCCTAGAAGCGAAAGTCACCTGTGTTGCTCTCGAGGTAAACTTTAAATCCGGCGGCCATTGTTCTTCGCTCGTCGGACTACCACAGGGCATCAAAATCTACGTCTCTTTCAATTTTTTTACCCGATTTTGTGTGATTTTATATGAATTTCTCCAGATCCATCTCGAATTCCGATCGATTGAAAATTTGACTTGATTTTGTTGAATTCTCGGAGTGTGAAGAATCATCTGTGATGATCTCTTTACAGACCTGTAATGACTTGCGAGGATGATTGCAGCTCGAACGAACTTCTAAGGGACTGAGATTTCTTCAACTTTTGTGATTTTAGTTTTCGAATTTCTGTATTGAATTTTTGTGTATTTTGTTTGATAAT